GGATGCCTGAAAGGACAATTTTCAGAAGAACTGGATTAATCGTTGGTAAGAAAAAGGAAAAAAGTAGATAACAGCTTAGAAAAGCACTGTGATGCAGACATCAGTGGATCAAAACCCAAATGTAATCGACTTACAGGGAGAGAAGCTTCATAACTGAGCTACGCTGATTACTTCTGTTGTCTGCCGTCCATCCGTTTTCTTTCGCTCCATCAATCCATTCATCTACTGATGGTTTCAGTGTGGACTTTATGTTTAGTACATAAGATGTTTAGCACCCCCCCAACCCCAAAAAAACAGTGTTGTTCCTTTTTTGTTTTGAATAAATTATATTATAATATATAAATATATATAAACTATCTAACAAAGAAGATTTTATTCATTAAATAATTACATATCACTCTACTTTTCCAACAGTTTTATTACATTTTGTAAGGCCTCAAGCTGGTTTCGCTTTAGTTTTTTCAAAAGCTTCTTTTTACCGTGGCTGCCGCTGCGATGAAGCCGCGACCCCCCCCTGAGGGCCCACCGCAAGCCCACGTTTGGGAACCACTGGTTTAGTGTGTTAACTTAGCATGCTACTCCCCTTTCAACATAAAGTACAGCTGAGGCGGATGGAAATGTCATTATACTTGCAGGTATTTCGGTCATCAACCTACGATTTGGTTCACAGTTACGATCGCTCAAGATGAAAAGAGGATCACCACAGTCGTAAGATTTATCCTCTGGGGAACACGACACAAGTGTCACTCTGCTTCTTGGCAGTCCAGCTCCCAATAGTTGTTGAGCTATTTCATCTGTGCTACCGACAGCAGCATAATGTGTCCGACCAAACACACTTGTGGCAGATGGATGGATGGATAGATCTGTACAGCACATGTGAAGTCGTAAATGGCTCCCCTCTCAGTCCAGCATGCACCACCTAATCGCTCTGCTGCTCCACCCTCTCCACCTCTCGCTCTCTCTGCTGCATGTGAATGTGGGTCACATCTCCGTCTCATCCCAGAGGTGTTGCGCTGTTCAGACGCTTCATCTGCGATACCCAGTTTTCTGACGTCCCAGAGGGCTGGAGAGGAGAGGAAATGGAGCGCACTCTGAAAAAACTTCAGGGGGCCGTGGTTCTGCTGCACTGACCGGAGGTCCAAGCTGCTCTGCTGTTCTGCTGTTCAAACCTGTTCCAGTCACACAAAGGGGCAATTTTAAATATTATAGGATGCAAACAGCGTGTTGACTCTGGTCTTTTAGATATGTCGGCGTGCATAATTCATGTGCAAAACAGGATCACATGGATTTATGATGCGGTTTTTATTCAAAGACACTTTTAAAAATGTAAATCTGCTTAAACCGATCATTCAAGGGGCAGTCAGTGGTTCTGATACACGTGTGAGAATAGGTTTGGTTTTCCAGAATGCCTTAATTACTTTGAAACATTAAGACAATCGACAATTGTATTGTATTTTTATAAAAAATTGAATTCATACCCTTGAACTTGTTAATAAGTAGAGAGATAAAAAAAGTTGTGCTTGCTGCTCTTTTTTTCAAAGCAGTCTTTGCGTCCCGCCTGAAGCTCAAAATACTTTCCCTTTCAAGTAGAGCTGCTTGTCAAAGCCACTTCATCAGGCTTTCTGTCATTTCATCAACTGGCCCTTCAGAGTCAGGTTTGATGTTGCTGCAGGAAAAAAAAACGTCTCACGTCTTCTCTACACCACTCCTTTCCTTTCCCATCAGAAAGTCAAGCTCTGGTATGCATCATCAGGCCTGAACGTCTTTCCACCATGTTCCTCTCGCAAATGAAATCCAAAAATGAAATGAACTATGAAATGAATTATTCTCATTGTGAAGAGTGTCGACAGTTGAGTCGAGGGTTCTGTAGAAACAAGCCAACTGTAACTGTGATTCAACTCTCAGGGCACTTATAGGATCCAAGGCCATGTTCCGGTTATTAAGATTCGTTTCCTGGTTTTAATCCATTCACGTGGAAAGCGCAAATGAATGTTATTGCTTCTGCAGGATCACATGTCCGTCCAGCAAATGAAGGTTGAACCAGTGTATTGAGGGAAAGGTGAATGTTTATTCATTTACTGACGCTCAGGATCTCTTGAGGACAGCGGTGGCAAAGTATGTGAACAGCAAGTCTGGTTCAGTGAAGGTTGGAATTTAAAAGCATATTTTGCATTTAAAGTCAATACCTTCCCTGTGGCTAATAGCATACGCCTCAAAAAGAGGGCTGACTATGGAAAAACACCGGCTCTTCTCATCCTGCAGGACGCAGCTTTCGTTTGGGTTTGTTGTTGAGGTTTGTTGTTTGTGCTGCTTTGAAATGGCAGTTTGTGATTATGCTTCTTACCAATGGGAATTCTGTTTGGAAGAAGACACACAGAACAATGCGTAGCAAACTTGGTGCACTTTTTTTCTCTATTTCTGGACTGTACTGAAAAAGAATTCCATCGACTTTGGTGTGAAGTTTAAGGTTCATTGGAGTGAAAGAATGTCAAATAATCAGTTGAGTGAAGGTTTCTTGATATTGTTCATCCTACGTCCGTTGTTAAGAGTTAAAAGTAATCAGTGAACCAGCTCATTTATCAAACACATTTCCCACACAACGACGTTGAATCACTTAAAGTAGTAGTTTGGCTCAATGAGTAAGGTCTAAACACTGAAAACACACTTTGTGTGGTTGGCAAAGTGGTTAATAGTAATATATAACATTAGCAGAAAACCGCTGATTTATTATTTGCTTTGTCAAACTTCCATCCGACCTCAGCTTGTGTTTGATGTGTTGATCAAAGGCTTCTCCTCAGGTCCTAGTGGCCAGTCAACTATATTTTCAGAAAGATTTCTAATCTCTCTCCAGTTTTCTGAAGAGACGTATTTCATAATAATAAGATGAAATTCTCCCTCGGCAAATATCTATTTCCCTGACATCCCAGATTAGTGCTTGTCACCTTTCTCTCTGTTAGCATATGATCTGAAAAGAATTATCAAACAAAGCGTGCTTCTGAAGGACGCACTAAGTCCAAATCTAACAATAAACGAGGCCACTTTATGTCCCTGGACGTTCAGGCCTGAATGCAAAAGTGTCCAAAAATACACGTTTCATTGAAATTAGTCATTAGGATGCCTCTTTATCTTCCTCTTCAGCTGCTGGACCGACATGCGCTCACTCAGTTGACGTGTAACTGGGGAGTGCCGATGAACCTCCTTCATCCAGTGCAGCATTCTCTCCTCAACGGTGGTTCACAGCGATATCACTGCCGCCGACATTCACCTATTTGCATATTAGCTCGTGTTATGAAACGCTGTGATGTTGTTGAGACATAACGACAAGTCGATCGGATGAAATTTGGGGTAAAGCTGAGTTCCTATGTTGATTTATTATTATCTACAATACAGTCGACAGCAGCTGGTTGAAGGTGAAGATAATTTACAAATAATGTGAAGATATCTCTGACATCAAGAAAACGATAGAGGTGACCTTGAGCTTGTTTTTGTCTCCACTGAGCTCTAAACTCACACATACATATATATTCACGCCCGTTGCTCATTTAAGCCTCAATACAGCAGATTCAAGTGTTCAAATGAGTTAAATGTCAAGCTCTCGGCACAGGATGGAATTTTAAACGAAGCTGCTCCTAATGAGTTTCCTGGCTAGCTAGATGCCTGAAATAAGGTCCAAAGCTTTAGAGATGTTTTACTTTTACTTGTACACCATAGGTTGGTAAAATGACTGCACTCAAAACTCAACCCCGAAATATATGTCATTGCTGCAGCCCTCCAGACAGAAATGTTAAGCCATATATGTATATTGTTATGATACAAATGCATGAAATGACAATGCAGGAGGAGGCCCCCAAAGCGATAAACCCACAGAGAATTATCACATGAATCTGCGGCTCCTCTCTTCACACCGCAATGCTTTTTAGCATGGAAGCTGTTTTAAACCAAAAATCCCTGCACACTACCAAGCAGCAGAGGAATAAAAATGCTGCAAACGAATAAAACTAGAACTCTGTAACTGCTTGATGCGTAAAGGACACACTGTTTGCGATACCGTTGCCATATTAATCACAAACGATGACATGTCATTGTTCTGCTCGGTCAACCGTTTAAAATATTTTGGACTTTGTGTTTTAAGAAAAGCACAAGCTACATTTTTGGAGATGATCGCGGTTCCAAACCGTTGTCAGAGAGAGAGAGTCACTGCTCTTCGTGAAACATGCCACTGGTTCAATACCAAAACATTTTCAACCTTCATTTGCTTCTTGTGGGGTTGTTAGATGACTCACACGGATACCTCTCCTCCTTGAAGTGCCTCTGTTTTGGTTCCGCTTAGCGCTATAACAACACAGTGGATGCTTTGCGTCTCTGGCCTCATTAGTTGCTCCATTTTAGGGGCTGCAAGACATTCCAGTCGAATTGATTGATCTCGGCTGTCGCAGCAGTTTTAAAGAGCTGTTGTACATACTTAGTATATAATAATAATGTGGCTGATTGGGGATTTTTCTTTGCCCCACAAATATCCTTCAACAAGTTAACAAAGCTGATGAAGAAGCATTACTTCTCGCTACGTCAAGACTCACATTTCACCCAAAGCCTGTTTTTAAAGCTGTCATTCAATGAATTTATGAATTTAGCGCTGAATTGGAGTAAACAGTGTTTTTTGATAGATTATAGCAAAGGGACACATGTCTGGGTTTGCTGTTCCTCTACGTGTGAGATTCGTGATCAGCTTTGTTTTTTTTTAAATTGCCCGGATCACAGCTGCTTCATTACTTGCGTTGGTGTCAGTACGGAGGCAGATTTCTCATTTATTTCTACTTTACTTGAAATAATAGATGCATTTATTTGTTTTAGTTTGTGTTTAATGACATTCTTTGCGATAAATTTTGTTTTAATGGGTGCACAATTAATTGATATGTGTGTAACACCACTGCTTGCTTCTGTCCAACACACACACACACACACACACACACACACACACACCTATCTATCCCTTGTGTGACTGTCGGCCTGTGATGTTTGCCCACAGGATAATGCACTGGGCCCGGCGTATCGAACAGGAGATTGACAGAGTCTTTCAGCACATCACTGGCGCTCAGCAGTTGAAAGGGGTGAGTGTGTCGCTCTCTTTTCGTAGTACACGGTTCTTCTTACTCATCTTGTCTCTGCACAAACTCAACGAGAAGCGATCTGCCTGCAGAATAGCTGTAAATCCAACAAGGTTAATAGCTGAAGGTGAAAACAGTAATAGTCTTAATATCTTCCAGAAAGCACTTTTTTGTCATGGTTTTCTTCAGAGATAAAAGCAGCCAATAACACAATCTATTTGTTTCCCCTGGACAGACATGAAGCTCTTTCGAATAGTTTTTCCTATTAATCCAATTCCTCAACATTTGATCTATTTTAAAACAATACCGTAGCGACATTTTGCTGGCGCTTTGTGGATTGTTTGCAATAATTATCAATCTTGAAGAGTTGCCTGAACAAACGCCCACAGTGATCAGATTTAGAGTATCCAGTATTATGTGTCATGAAGTTAACAACACCTACATTCACAAATACTAATTTAGATCTTTCATAAGCTGATTGTGTGTCATTTGTTACTAGAGATAAACATGCGTTTTATTACTTTTCATGTTCATATGGCAATTGCATTCATCACACTCTCAGACCTATTTTACATCACATTTTGCATTAAGGTCATCAGATATCTGACTCTCTGCAGTGACCTGATTTCTAAACTCGCATACCTTGAGAATGAGACACGATTCCCAATAGATTTGTCGAGAAAATCATTTTGTGTTGATTATCAGATTATTATATCAGAAAATTAGTCTGCCTCTATTTTTTTTAAATCAATTAATTATTTAAGTTGTTTTCGAACAACTTGCAAATTGCACAAAAAACAGCTGTTGGTTCCCGTCCTTTTTAAATTTTAGGATTTGCAGCTTTTTCTTTTTTCGTACAACACTACGAAAGAGTATGAAGCGAACAGGAGGCGAAAGGCCAACAAACGGGACCAAAGATCATCTGTAGGGGGCAAGAGAGCCCTGCTGTGTGAAGATGTGCGGGGGCGTTTCCCCCAGCAGAGACCAGCGGCACGTGTCCTCTCTTGTTTGTGTCACGGCAGAGCAGATGGTCGGCCTGCAGCCCACAGTAATGCCTTGATATGAGACTCGCTTGTTCATTCAGTCCTCATTAATCCCCCCCGTGCTCCGGAAAACACTCAGGATCTGTTAGATGAATTGTTCGCCTCGGCTCGGTGCTCGATAAGCTGAGTGCAATTTTCTCCTACCGATGAAAAGCTTGTTACCTCGCTGACACTTCATTTTTTACTTTCTCAACTAATACAAAGCCGCAATTTTACATTTGAGGAAGGTTCTGATGGCCTTAGTGATACAGCCCGGCTCTACATCAGGTTTCTATTTGTCAAAATAGGAGGACTAATAAAAGTGTTACATCTTGATTGTGAATATATTCACAAAGCACCAATTTCAACAGTAGCCAGTTCACAGAAACGCCCTGTTCATTACGACATGTTCCCATCTGTCCCATCGGCTCTGTCAGTAAAGCATCTGGTCAGCACACAATTTCAAGGAAGTCTTAAAGTGCATTTGGTGAAGTGCATTTAAAGAGCAAGGGATGTTATGCAGCATGCAGGTTTGCTAAATATAGGAATTTTCTCTCCACCTTCTCTCTAATGTATTTGCTCTGGAGGTAGAGAGTCTTATGGCCTTAAAACCACCAGACAGCGACATATACGGTCCGTTCCTTGTCTGCTGCACATCTGTTCATGGCGTCTTTTGCGTGATAATAGAAAGCTGCAGGACATTTTTATAGTAAGATTTTGCAGGCAAATCTAAGCGTATAAGAAAAGGTGTTATATATTCTTTGGAAAGGTGTGAATGTGGGCAGCTGCCAACTAAAACTACAGCGGAAAGAAAGTTCCTCTCTGAGCTCCTGTTTATGAATAGATGTGTTCTGAGCTAACAGGCAGCGTCTCATGCCAAAAGACACCAAAGACACCAAACTTTCTTGAGAAAGTCGAAATTAGCTTGGAACGAAATAGTCACATTTGCTCAGTGTCATTCCCAGATGTCTCCTGATGAAAGTTCTCTGCTTTAAGCAACCAGAAGGAATACTTTGTGAGCATGTTGAAAGGCCACATTTCAAAAGATAACTGATGTGTAATTTAACTTCAGGTGCTCTGGGAAAGAGAATTAAGAGCCGAATCTGGGCTCATCTGTGAGCTCCCAACCCAAGTCAGAATACAATGAAAACAGCAAACTTTAAAAAAGATTTCTGTAGAGTTGTTTAGTTAGCAAATAAATGTTTCATCTTTGAGGAGAGTTGAGAACACAAAATAGATCTTGACTTTGTTGTTGACTTTACTAAAGAAACAAAGCCGACATGCTCACCATTATTTTATTCTGTAACAAGACGGCATTGGTTGCTTTAAGTTTATTTTTTACTAATTTGTTTTTAGGGCAATGTGTTAAGATAATGTGCTCCATTATCTGTTTTCAAGAGAAACTTCATGAATCATTCTTTCAAAAACCATCCTATATGTAAGTGATTGTTTGTATTATATTATTTCATGGCTAAAAGAATAAATGCTTCATATTATCTTTGATTTCAGTCTGAAATTACTTTAATGTGATTCATTTTGGAAACCTTTGTTCAAAGACAACAGACTTTGTGTGAGTAGATCACATGAAAGGATCCATTTTTAGATTTGGAGCGAACGCACAAACCGAACAAGCGACTGCTCCCTTGTGTCCCCAGTATTCAAATATAGGACGGATTCTCTTTCAAATTCATGAGTTTGGGAATCATTATTATTATTATTATTATTATTATTTTCAGCATGTTTGAAGATCTTGAGCTTCAACCATTTTGTCTCTCTACAAACCTGTAAATCTTTTTTTTTTCAAATAACCGGATGCGGATACTGACCATAACAATCACCTGCACTAATAGTAGTACAAATGTATGTTCAATCTGCTTAAATGATATGTGAAAAGTTGATGGTTAATAGTGTGAGATTTATTCAGCAGAAAAAGTCTTAATTCAAAGAGTTCAGTTGTTATTGCTCTTAAGTTTTTCACTTTTTCCATAAAAAATGTACAGCTATACAATGAAGAAAGACGACAGTTTAATCTGGTGAGGAATCAGCCTCGGAAGATTGTGGAGAAGGTTGCCTCTGATATAGAGAAACTCCTGGCGAAGAAGCGCAAAGCGCTCGATGTAAGTATATTATTCCTGACAAACATGAAGCACTTTCATGTAGCCACAATTTTTCAACATTACTTGCTAGGTATTAATGAATAATTCATTATTGACGGTCTATCATAGTTCTTCAATTCCAGGTAGTATGCATACTGTTTAAAAGCATTACTGATGTTTTCTGGATGTGTTTCAATGTGCAATTTTATTATTCTCAAACACTAGTAAACCCAGTTCTGTCTCAGCTCCATGTTGCACAGTTTTCTCCCCCCTGACGAGAGAAATCAGAAACGTTGTGCTGATTCTCCTCTACTGTTTCTCTGTTTCCAACGTGCAGAGGTTGGCCAGTGAAGCAGAGCGACTCCAGCGAGAGCATCTCTGGCAGGATGGAATTAAGGTAAAATCTCAAACATGATATTTGAAGTTAAAATAAGACACCTGTTAAGGTTGATCACAGCTATAGGACATGTGCTGTAGTCTGAGATCCTTTGATATGAAGGTAATGTTGTATTGACACCTCTTATATTTAACACAAACTCCCCAAATTCATTTTTCTGTTTTGGTTTTAGAATTTTCTTTCAATCCCCATTTCCTAATATAGTGGAAACATTGCTCAGTCACTCTTAACCACTGATGTAAAATCAACCCAGATGGTTCTGATGTCTTTGAGCGCTGTGGAAAAAAAAAGAGACGACCTTACAGAACATTTTTACAAGTCAGCTGAGCCGACCCCTCAGCGCTCAGCTGCGTTAAACAGATGACCGAGTGCCGTTCTGTCCTCCACACATTGGCATTCCACTTATCCAGCCACACAAGGTGAGGGTTAAACGCATCCCCTCACGTTGCCTCTCACCTACTTCCCTCAGGCCGGACCCCTTCTGCATTTTAAAAGATACAGCTGATAACTTAAGAAGCAGGGTTCTCAGGAGGCGTTAACATAGAAGATGAGTCAATTCTCCAACTCTCCATCTCCGGACCGACTGATAGAAAACACCGTTAACGTCTGGATGTTTCCACAGCTGTTGTCCTCTGACTGCAGGAGATCCGTATTACACTCGGGATAACGGTCAGAGAGACACGTCATACGATGTGAAATTGGATACAGCGCTCTTTCAAGATTCGATTGGGTGATTAGAAAATGCAAACAATAAGAGCGTAGCCGCCCCCCCATGTCAGGCTTATTCTGAAGTATGTTCCGTCTCTTCAGAAACTAAGACTAACAGATGGCGATGCTCTATCCAAGCTTTACAGCCTGTCTACTGATTCATAACGTGAGATCACGGAGCAGAAAAAAAGAGCAAACATTTGGTGGTTACAGCTTCCCAAATGGAAGGTTTTTAGACTCGTCTCAGTTTTATGTAATTCTAAACTAACCATTTTTAAACAAAAAGGATTTGAAAGTAATCTTGTTAAGTGCCATAAATTGTTCTATATACACGTATGAACCGTCAATCAAACTATTGTTTGAACTGTTTCCTTTGAGACAATGAGCAACGATGCATGATTGTAACTTGTCTTTGAGTGTTGCTATGGTGATTAACATGTCTCCTTGTTACCCACTTAGTATTTAATGTCTAGTTGTCTGTTTTCTCCCAGGAGCTGGACATGGCTTATTATGACTCCAAGGCAGAGCTGGACTATGTGAGTAAGACCGCTCTGCTTTGTTTGCATTTACCGAGACCATTTGAGAGGAAAAAAGATTATTATAATGTCTTATGGTTGTGAAAATCAAGCAAAATGTAATTTAGAAAGTAAGACGTTGCAATGTTGGTGATGAGAATATGATGTTAATGTGTCATGTGTGCTTTCTTGGACTCTAGTACCCCATGGATGGAGAAGGAGAGGTGGAAAACCCTTCACACATCAAGCTGGAGTTTGTTTATGATCCAAACTTCAAAAATAATGTCAACTATTCCTACACAGCTGTTCAGATTCCCACAGATATTTATAAAGGAGGCAAGTGGACTTCGGATTATATTATTTAGAAAATCAATAAATATATCTCATGCTGGAGATTTTATTTGATTTACTTTACTCATCATTACAAGAAGTCGACTCTTTTGCACGCAGCTCCAGTCATTCTGAACGAGTTGAACTGGACGCAGGCGCTTGAGAAAGTCTTCATGGAGAACAGCCAGGAGGATCCGTCACTGCTGTGGCAGGCGTTCGGCAGTGCCACGGGTGTCACTCGCTACTACCCAGGTAGCGCCTGACAACCGTCCCCTGTGATTCCTAACCTGATGTCGACTCTGAGGGGCCAAGGGACCTTTTGAAATGCGCCCAAACAAGGTTTAACTCAAATTTACATGCACAGCAGAATCAACAGGACGTGTTTTTTGTTTTCCTTTTTTCAGCGACACCTTGGAAAGCCCCCGATAAAATTGACTTGTATGACGTCAGGAGGAGACCCTGGTACAGTCTGCCGCTTACAGTTTATTTTCATGCCAGAGGTGCAGCGGATTTACAAGGGGTGACATATCGCGTCCTCTCTTTTTATTCATCACAGGTACATCCAGGGAGCCTCATCTCCGAAAGACATGGTCATTCTTGTTGATGTGTAAGTAACAAGTGTCCATTCATGTTCTTTTCTTGGGTTTCTTCGTGGCGTTATGTAATTAACTGCTGTTGAAATCCGTTGCATGCTTGCTCTTATGTCTCAGTCAAAAGGGAAAAAGACCATCCTAAATTTATTTCACGCAGGTGAGCAGCTTCTACATGTCTATGGCTCTATGAATGAACAAATTAGAGAAACAAACCAGACTAAAGTTGAATTGTAGTGGGAAAAAAGTGCACCTGTCAGACAGACCGCGCGAAAAGCAGCTGAGAGTGCAATTCATATTGTGGATCATGTGTAACACCCCAAAGGTCAAGTTACCGACCATTCAGATCAAGAACGGGGTGTTGTTCTTTAAATCAATGCAATATAACAGCTTCATTTGTGAGCTCAAAACGGGCTCGTAGGTGTATTGTGTTACTGTAGGACAGAGCCTTTAACAGACGGACACAAAAGTCTGATTAATCCAATAAATCTTTTTAAATGATCAAACCACTGCGACCAAGTTCAGCTTCTTGTTTCTATGGCAGATCAGACAGTCGAGAGTGGGTTTAAACTCATGGTTAGTGTCAGGGAGCGGTGTATTCAGGTACAAGTAGAGAACAATTGTTTTCTATCTGTAGTGATACACAAAGGATTGGAATTCTTTTTCGTCCGTAGTGAAGGAAAGTGCTGCTATAAAGCTTATTTGTTCTCTGTAACTTTAGCAGCAAAAAAGCCGTAATGCAACCCTGTTGAAAACTGTGTTTGGGACAAACAAACAGTTCCTCAGCAAACAACGCGACTGTGTTCCTCTGAGCCGCAAAAACACGGGACAAGGAAATACAAACAAAAACCCGCTGAAAGCGTTTATCAATGCTGATTAATCACCGCGGCAGGCGTCATCATGTCTGTGATTGAACATCTGGAGAGAACTCCTGTAATGTGTTGGTATCGGAGCACGTGATGGGGAAGATTCCTGTGGGTTTCCTCAGGAGCGGCAGTGTCAGTGGACTGACCTTGAAGCTCATCAAGGCCTCAGTGATGGAGATGCTGGACACTTTGTCTGATGACGACTATGTCAACGTGGCCAGGGTTAGTATCGGCGACACTCACTGCCTCCTCCTCACTCGTCACACATTTGTTCACTTGTTTCCTTAACTTCAAAAATGCATCCGCTGTGTTTCAGTTCAACGAGAAGGCCGAGGCTGTGGTTCCCTGCTTCAAACATCTCGTCCAGGCTAACGTGCGAAACAAAAAGATCTTCAAGGACGCGGTGCAGCAGATGCAGGCCAAAGGCACCACGGATTATAAATCCGGATTTCATTTCGCCTTCAACCAGCTGTTAAATGTGAGTCAATATTGATTTACATCGACCGGGCAATTTTTTTTGTCGTTAACTAACTTCACTACTGTATCGACCAACTCTGCTGTTCCCTCTCATTCGTTTCCCTTTTCTAATGTATTCCTCAGAAGACAAATGTTCCTCGGGCCAACTGTAATAAAATAATCATGCTGTTCACTGACGGAGGAGAGGACAGAGCTCAGGATGTCTTCATGCAATACAACTGGCCCAACAAAACGGTTGGTTTCTTCTGACGACAACAGATACCTTTCACGTGCATCCAGCATGTCTGCTCTGTGGGGTCTTGACCACCTCTGACAACTGGCTTATTTCTCTCTATTTGTTCCTCCGAAGGTTCGAGTTTTCACTTTTTCTGTTGGTCAACACAACTATGATGTTACACCTTTGCAGTGGATTGCATGCACCAATAAAGGTGAGCGATAATTTTTTTGTGCTTGTTGGATTTTATTTTATTCCCCATATCATGTGGTTGCCAGCCTTTTTCAACCGAAATACCCCCATCGTGTCAAATCATTACTTTAATCCAAATATTTCAACCTCCCTACGTGCTTGCAAATTAGTTTTTACACACTCACCTTGACCAGTGTAAAACAAATTTGTAACACTATTTGGCTGTTTATTTTCGTCAGCAATTGAGATATGATTAAAGTATTTTCCCTCATATTTCCATTTTTCTTTGTTAGTTAATAAGTATGTACGAGTCCCTATTGGTTGAGAATCATGAGATGTGTTTGTCAAAAAAACGAGGGAGACCAAGTTCCAACAAACTAAGTGGTCACCTGTGACCATTTTATGATACAATATGTATTCCAGACATATCTTGAAGGTCATTGGATTACATTGTAGAGCTTAAACTATTAGTCGATCAGAGAAGATAAGATCATTTTATTTTCTCACAGCAGCGAAATTTGGTATTTGCAGCACGAGGACATTTATACAGATTAAAATAAAAATAAATTCATAACAACATATACAAGACAATAGGATAATTGTCAAATGTTAATGAACTGATAACTCTGATAATGCTTAATTCATTTTTCGGAATTAAGCATCATTTTTCGGACAAAACCAGACATTCTACCAAACATCGTAATAAGAAAGTGAAAAAACTAATCAACACATACATTGTTAATGATTAGAATCAATAGTTACAATCCAATTGACAATGAAACACGATGGGAAACCGTTATTGAAGCAGATTCTGATTAGACATTAGGTTTCAGGTTCAGCAGGAGCTTCCAGCTCCTCTGTCTCTCTATCTATCTGGGAAAGTTAAGCGACTGATTGTCTAGCGACAGTGAGTAGAATCTGAAATATTTATAAGCACCACTCTTGCTCACACATGCTCTTCCTCTCCCTATTTGTCTTTTTTTTTTCTCTGTTGCTTGCCAGGTTACTATTTTGAGATCCGGTCCATCTGTGCTATAAGGATTAACACCCAGGTGGGTTCGTCTAGTGCCTCTTACACAGCTGATCCCCGTTCAGTGTTTCCATGCCTCCAGTGGCACTCACTCACTCTTTAGTAACATCTACTTCCATTTGTTTGCACTCCCATTGTTCCCTGTGGTCAACTGTTGTGGGTTGTTTGGAATGTGCAGCCGCTCACGTATCTCCTTTGTTTGGTTAGGAGTACCTCGATGTGCTGGGGCGCCCCATGGTCCTTGCAGGCAGCGTTGCCAAGCAGGTTCAGTGGACGAATGTGTATCAGGATGCTCTGGTGAGATCACGTGACCTTGTTTGCTGTGTGGGATTGAATATGGCATAAAGTACATGCAGACTGAATAATTGACATGTTTTGGGACTCTGCAGGGTCTGGGAATGGTAGTGACTGGGACTTTGCCTGTATTTAATCTCACCATGGATGGAAACTCACAGGTACATTACATGTCATTTAGCTGACGCAAAGGTAACAAAACTTATATTAATATGAAAGAATGTTTTTTTTTAATATTACAGATTATGGCTACTTTCTATGTAATTATTCCAAAGGCAGAATATACCACTGTTTATATATCCGGGAATACTAAATGACCACCTATAAATAAGTTATTTGATTTTGCTGCCAAAAGGTAGGTGAGTAGATTGATGACACTCTTATGACTCAACGCTATTATTAAGCTATTACGACTTTGTATAAATACTGGAAACAAGGAGAAACAACCAGCTTGGCTCAATCCAAAGATAACGCAATTCACCAACCAGCTCTAAAGTTTATGATTTTATATGCTATGTATTTCTTTAGGTAGCGCATGTGCCTGGCGTGGTGACTTCTGAATGAAGTGCCTACTGGTTACAGCTACATATTTACCGGACAGACATGAGAGCGTTATCAATAGTCTCATCTAACTTTCAGCAAATCAGAGAAAAGACCTTTTTCCCAAATGTCATATTATTCTTTTAAGGAGCTGTATGTGTTTTATCTGACCAGAATCAGCTGATTTTAGGTGTCATGGGGGTCGACGTGCATCTTGATGAGATAAAGCGTCTAACACCTCGGTACAATGTATGTATATGTCATTAGCACCAATATTATTATTAACATTTTTCGTCATTTGTATCGACTGACACATCACTGCTACTCCTTGCTTTTAATATCACAGCTTGGAGCCAATGGATACATATTTGCCATTGATCCAAATGGATATCTTCTGCTTCACCCGAACCTTCAGCCAAAGGTGGTGCATATTAAACCAGATTTACTTTAATGTACAGTTGTTCATAGTTTGATAATTATAATATTGGTAAACCTGTTCTGCGTTCACTTTGCTTGTTAATGTGTTTTTCTCACTTGATTCCTCGCAGCTAGTGAACCTCCCTGAGCCTGTGACGTTGGACTTCCTGGATGCCGAGGTGGAGGACAGCAACAAAGAGGAGGTGAGCTTTTAGTGGCAAGTGGAGCTGAGAAGTTTCTGGTTTCGGGCATTTTCTGTTCCTTGTTGTTGTTCAAAGTTCTTGCAGAGGTGGAGAACAACATCATCTTCCTCATGTTTGTGACTGAAAAATGAACACTTTGCATTTCTATTTTCTAGATCCGGCGACAAATGATTGATGGAAGACCAGGAGAACTGCAAATCCAAACTCTGGTCAAGTCGGTTGATGAGGCAAGTAAATTACCTGAATAGCAGAGTTCACTCAACACAATGATTACAAATAATCTGGGGTTTGATGAATACGTTTCAACAACATGGCCTACAGTACGTTTAAAAAGCTGGTCATTATGTGTACCATACTTTCAGATTGCAGACATGGGGAAACAAATACTTAAAAAAAAATGTAAATGCTTAAACCGGCTGTGGTATTTTTTATCGAAATATGCTCTAAGATAAAGTGTGTCTGTAATTCAATGAAAAGACATTTAGTCTTTTGAAAGTCATTAATTTCAACTTTTACTATGTATTTATTTCCAAATGACTTGTTTAAAGAACATTGTTAAGGCTCCGATTTTCTTCTCCGATCAGATTTTATGACCAAATACGTTGCAAATAAATAAATATGATTGTAGTGCACCGGTTATCTTCTAAAGAGAGTCTTTGGAGTAAGAACACTATTAACAAGTGTGAAAACCTAATGTCAACTTTAGATGTTGGTTTTAGTCCCTATATTAAATGAGTGATAACGTGTTCAAATCCTGTGTTCGATTTTAGTTTCAATTAGGACTTAAAATGGTCCAAACAATCATCCAAACAAAGCAAGAAAAATAATAACATGAAGTAAACTGATGAACTGTGACCTGTTTACTTTAACTTAAGCGTCTTCAAATGTCTCCTTTACTTTAGCAATACATTGACGAGGTGCACAGGACTTACACCTGGACCTCTATCAATGGCACAGATTACAGGTGAGCAGTTACAATGTTATGAATTACAACTAATAATCAACCAGCTGTTGCCTAATGAGACAATTTTGCTCTGCCTGCATGTCTCTCTGTGTCTCCCTGTCGGGGCGCCTCCAACCGCAGTCTCGGCCTGGTTCTACCTCCGTACAGTGAATACTTCATCCAGGCAGACCTGAGCGACATGATGATTCAGCTGCAGTGTGAGTACAAAGTGGCAGCGCTTTCGGAATTGTCTTTCATAAGACGTGACACAAAGAAGAAAATGAAAAAAAAGCCTCTTTTACAGATATACAGTCGCTGCTGCCCAGCTCCTTTGAGTCCTCGGGACACCTGTTTCTGGCTCCAAGGTGACTCCCGTCTCGCTTTATATTCCTCAATCTCTTTGTGGAAGGAAAGTTTTCAGTATTTCTGTCCTGTGTTTCTTCAGGGAATACTGCAAAAGTCTGCATCTTTCTGACAACAACACCCAGTTCTTGGAGAACTTCCTCTTGCTCATGCTGCACATGTCGGAGTCTGATGAATGTGAGGGTGTTAACAGAGTTTGCTAAATTGGTCACTGTTGCAGATCCCCAGAGGAGATAATATAATAATAATGATAATAATTGAACATGTATCATATACTTGCACATGTTTTTTGTTTGTTTCAGGTGACCAAGGCCTCATCCACAACCTGATTTTGGATTCTAGGATTATTGGGCAGCTTGCCTCTCGTGTTTGGAAGAACAAGGACCTGAACTCGTAAGTCAACTTTTTGGTATTGCTTTCCACAGCATGCCAATGCAGCATCCACCACCTTAAAAACAAATCATTTTCTTTGCAATCAAGTTGACAGAAGTCTGCTCTGATGGTCTCTTAATTGTAATGGACAGAGATGGCTGAATAAAAACTAATTGTTACAGGTACGGCTTCCTGGCTGTATTTGCGTCCACTGATGCAGGAATAACACGTGTTTTCCCCAACATGTGAGTACGATAAGTGCACTTAATGTAGCAGAGAAACAGTATCACAGTAATCGCCAATATGTTTTCTCTATCAACAGTTTTTTACCCAATTCTTTTGTGTTGTGTTTGTACAGAGCTGCTGAGTCATGGGATGAGGATCCCGAACCCTTTAATACAAATTATTACAGACGCAGCCTCGACAACAAAGGCTACATGTTCAGAGCTCCATCCAGATCCGGTAAGCGTGCAATCCTACAATCCAGATGTTTTAGAAATAGCCGTGTACCAAACATGTGAAAGGGTTGATTCGTCTCTCATCGCTCGCTCATCTCCGCAGGCTTAACGTTCAAGTCTTGAGTTCATCAAATGCGAGTGATCTCTAAATGTTTAGTGCTCGTTCTAAACGGATCGATTTGGCATCAGCCTCTGTGACAAAATAATCTCTCAGTTTTAATCCGCAAACTATCTCAGGTGTCAACTGCGGGATGTTTTTTGAACAATTTCAAAACTGAGCATTCCTTGGTGTACGACAACAAACTATGACCGCACACCAGTTCTTTTAAAAAGTGGTTTCGTTTGTGAACAGCGTTGGACGACCCTGCAGTCGCAGAAAATGGCACCGTTGGAATTTTGGTTAGTTCGGCCGTGGAGGTTAATTTGGGAGGCAAACTGCTCAAACCTTCAGGTGAGAAGACACACCACCGTGTTTTTGAGACTTCATTCAGTGTCCTGTGCCACGTGCGACTCACGGGGAAGTTATTTTACTGTGGCTGTTGCCCCCTCAGTGGTCGGGGTGAAGCTGGACTTGGAGGCGTGGGTGGACAAGTTTAAGATTCTGGCCAGCAACGTGTCCGACAGTCGACAGGGAGCACACAAGGTACCGCGTTGGGACACCATTTACCAACTGATTACTTAATTAGTTCAAAAAGATCTTACTCAATAATTATGAGTCTCTGTTGTACACGTTTTTCACTTAATTAGACTACATTTAATGCACATAAAGGGATCATATTGTCTCTTGAAACATTTTGTTCAAACAGTGTGGACCCTCCCGAAGCTGTGAGATGGACTGTGAAGTGAACACTGACGTAAGAGCGATTCACAGATTGTAGCAAGCCTCGGTTTTTCCGACAACAATGGCATTATTTAGAGGTTAAATGTGTTCTTTAATGTATACTCTTGGGATTATTTAATTGGTTTGTCACTTATAGGACCGTTTTATTTGGTTTTAGCAGTTTCATCTATTTATTATTATTATATTATAAAAAAAAAATGAATGAAGCATGAATGAAAGACATATAATACATTTATTAATTTTCTGGTTTTCACTGTCTTCTCTTAGAAGTGTATTGAGGTTGTCTGCTGTTGCTGCTCAGTGTTAAACCCTTTTAAACACTTGATATAAACTGTACCCTGTTGTTTGTAGGACCTCCTCTGTTATCTCATTGATGATGGCGGATTCCTGGTTATGTCTAATCAAAGAGATCATTGGAAAAAGGTATGTTTATTGTGCGGTGCTTAATCTTTAATACTGAAGGATCTCATGCACATTTTTGCTTATGTTGAAAATTGTTGCAGGTATTTAACTTAATAGGAAACAAGAATAGAAAGTAGAAAGTGGGAAACAGACATCATTTTTGTTCAGCCACTATGTGGCGCTGTCTACCTTATGTGCTCTACTCGCGTCTCTCTCACCGTCGTTTCATTTTCTTTCATCCATCACAGATCGGCCTTTTCTTTGGTGACGTTGACCCCTACTTGATGCACGCTCTCTACAACAACTCAATCTTCAATCGCCGTCAGTCTTACCACTTCCAGTCGGCATGCGAGCCCGTCAGCAGCAGCCATACTGGCGCAGCGCCGAGGGGCATCTACGTGGTAAGAGACCACCTTCCGATTTTACATTCAGAAACATTGTACAGTGCTGTGAGATGGTTGGAAAGCTCTTATTTGTTACCACTGTCACCATGTTCCTGTAGCCCTCCATTGCTGACGTCCTCAGCTTGGCCTGGTGGACCTCTACAGTGGCATGGTGAGACTTTGTTTACCCTTATTTGTGTTTACACTTGACCCAGTACTGATGTTTATTAATGTTTACAGGTTGGATTTAATTTAAAGTGCAATTTCAACACCTTTTTCAGGTCTGTGACCCAGCAGCTGCTCTATGGACTTGTCTACAACAGCTGGCTCTACCGAGGTGGATTTGTGCTTCTTCTTCACAGTCTTGTGTACCCATAAATATCTGTGCAATTACTTCATGGTTTCTTGCTAACAATGATACAAACGGGATGAAACATCTCAGCATCTCATTTGCATTTTGTCCTCATTTTATTGCCTCAATTCTTTTGTTATAATTGAAATATTGTGAGCTGAGCCCATTAAGGGGAGATTTATTTAACAATGAAGTGTGTTGTTGCAACAGGTCAGCAGACAACAACAATATTCAGACGGAGCGGATACGTGCAATCTGAATTCAAACCAGTTCTCTCCTGTTTAGAACATCTTTATTCGCAGAAGAAAACTACTTTTCAAAGTATTATAAACATCATATAAAGTGTTCAACTTTTGTACTCTAGATGACGTCCTGGTTGAAGGTTTTGAAGCAAGGGAAAGCAGCTGTGTGACCATCCAGAGCCAGTTCTACTTCACAAACACCACCAACTCCTACAATGTGCTGCAGGACTGTGGAAACTGTTCACGGTGGGTTTCTTCTTGAGTCAGCAGAATGTGTTGCTGCTCTCATTCCTGTACTGTGCTTTAAGGGATCAAGTTGGCTAAATTTCTATGACTGTTTCCAACAGGCTTTTCCACGCTAAGCGGATTGAAAACACCAACCTTCTGTTTGTGGTCGCCGAGACGCTCCCCTGCAGCTCATGTGAGATAGAGAGATTGACACAGATCAGGACGGAGTGTATCCTTTACATGCTCACACACTCTGTGGTGCTTTTATTTGGTTGGAAAGTTGGAAATCTCTTGTGGGGCAGTTCACTGTGACTGCCCTTAACTAAAAACAAAACAGTTCAGGAGGAGAATCCGTGCGAAGTACTGAGCAATGCACGATATCGTAAAGGCCCGACATCCTGCTTCGACTTCAGTGCCTTAGTAAGTAGATGTAATATAGATACAGCATTTTATTTGTGCCTCTATCCTGAGCATCAACAGGAGATTTTTAGCACAGAAAAATAACATTTACAGTATATTTCAGAGGATATCTTTTCTGACATAACAAATAATTGGGTTCTTAAGAAAGAGAAATATGGCTCTTTGTACTCACACATCTTTATGTACTTGTAGTTGTAAATTATCCTCTGCCTAGCTAACTTGCACTGTAAATAGTTAATTTCTCTGTATAATCAGTAGTACTTTAGAAAAATTGTATTTAATTGTGAACTCTCATTGCAGGAAAACGCATCAGAGTGTGGACGAGGTTGTGCACTGCAGTCCTCTATAGGAGTCCTCCTCTTTGTTCAGCTCATTCTGCCTCTTCTTCAACTTTGACACGTGCAAACACTCTAACTGACACCTTTCATCTCTTTGGGTTTAGGCTCGGATCTACTGAAGGTCAGATCAAGCAGCTACTGCTGAATTAGAATTTCTTCAATGCACAAACGGCACACGGTGCATTTGTGCTTGAAAAAATGTGTGGAGCGGCTTTTAATGTTTATTGCCTTATTGCGTACGCATTTGTTGGTGTTTCAGGGCTTGCTTGAGTGCAAATTATAGAATGTGTCGAGTGTGCATGCTACTTAAATTAATACCAGCATGTTTAACATTTTTGCACACATGCTCAGCCATGTAAGCAACCACCAAATAGTCAGGAAGTGCAGCTGAAATGCACCTTGAACGGGCCAATAAGTGGTCACCCGGCAGGAACAGAGCTCAGTCGCAATTTTAGGTGTGATCGTGGTGGAGAACTTGGATCTAAGACTCCGTTGGACTGATTTGTTATGTAGTAAACACACAGTGTTCTCGCGTTTCTCCAAAGATAACCCCAAAAAAGTCACACAGTCAAAGTGTTACTTAAGTAAAAGAAGAGACATGCAAGCAACAACATCAGCCTAAATTAAAAATATTTATTTGACGGCAGAATGGGTCCTATCAGTGTTATGTCCATGTATCATGCATTATTTTATCAGGTTATTATTACTGATGTATTAAGCATCCATGTTAATGTTTAGGTTCGTGAAGATGGAGTTCATTTATACCACTACTACTGTTTACTTCTAGTTTACTCTTTTAAACGTAGTAGTAGTAAGTATTAATCAAGGTTTCTGCCCTAATATAACTAAATGCACTTCCTGCCTCGTGAAATATTTCGATTGACCTTTTAAAAATGTTGCAACCGCTTTGTTTGCATTTGTTTTTACATGCGTGCAGTCTCTCCCTCCCTGAATGTTCTGGCGTAATGCAACATCTCATCTCAGGGGCACACTGGCCCCTTTGGAACAGTGGACACCGCTTGCAGGACATCCTCCGTACACAACAGCACCACAACATGGACACGCTTACTAGAACGTTGCTCCACTAGTGTCCATAAACGGCATTAGAATTACTAATGCTTAGTGCAAGCAACATCATCAACGCAGCCATGCTGACCAATAAGAGCTGCTTTATTGACACTACAGCAGGAGAAACTAGTTAGAGTCTTTAGATACTTAGATTCATTCTCACTGACACAATGCTGAATCGATCTGAATATATTTATCTGACTGATCAGCTGTAGGATAAACAGCATTTGTGAGTTTGGGATGGCTCGTTAGATGAGGCGCTGTTTATAAGGATTTACAATTTCCAAGCTGCAGCTTGGTAAAGCCATCTAACACAACTTTACGGTGTGCACACCACACATAAAGCTAACTGCTCCCGCAGGAAAAGATATATAGGTAGTCAACATCTGCTGAGCTCAGCTCTGCTTCCAGAAACTTCTGCTTTTGCTGGCTTTGTGGAATTTAAAATGATTTATTTCTGACAGTTTTCTTTTTTTATTTTCCATCCTAGTAAATATCTTTGCACATCAAGGAGCTTCCTTGCATCTTAAGAGTTTTTTACATGATAGTAGATCTGGGCCTTGACCTCACATTCACTTCTGTGTCTTTTGATCCAACTCTGACATTTTGCCAAGACCTTCATTACTTCAAATTACATTATTACATCATTACATGACGCTGATGGATTCCATGCTGCAGTCTCTTTAAGTGTTTTCTGTTCCCCAATAAATATATTCTCAGAGCAACATGAGGAGAAATACCAGTGTTAGACCTCCAGCAAGATAGTGTGGTTTTGAATTTGAAGACAATAACACAGATTGTTAAAGTCAAGGTTTATGGAAAAGCCTCCAGAGATTCACAGTATCAACTTGAAGTGCTTCCAGTTTGAAGAATTGTTAAAGGGTGTAAAATCAAAAAATCAAGACAAACTGTGACTTTTTACACAGCTTGTAGTATTAAATCCGGCCAAACCACAGCATTTTTAGTGCAATAATGCTGTGATAATCTGACTTAATCTGACAGTAATTATCATTGCCATCAATTTATAACATTTTACGTAGTTTACATGCAGTGTTATCTCTGTTGTCTTATAGCACAAAACATGTGCCGACGTTGGTGCATGTCAGACATTCTAAACATCCTTTATTTGATCCATCAATCTCTTTATATGTTGTAACACCACTGTTAGTCAAATCCGAATTTATGCACTTATGTATGCTTCTGTAAGGGGAATGTAGCTTCTGAATAGCTTTCAATGTTATCGATATGTTATAAGTATGTGAGGCTTTTTGATCCTCTGTGAGATTTCCCTGATTTCTATTTAAAAGTGATGATTTGCTGTGGAGAATATTTTAATTTTATCATGTGTACCTTGTTACAGCAGTGGTATCTGTTTCAACTTTTAACTAAATCATGAAACTGTAAGAAAAGGCCGCCCAGTCCTGTATGTTTGGGATTGTACTACTTGAATTTAAAGTGTGGCACCAAAACATGTTTACATTGTACAATTTATTCACACTTTTTGTTCATGTGTATTATTAAGGTCGTTATGAAACCTAATACACCAAAAAAGAGATTAGGGCTGCAACTAACAAGTGTTTATATTATCTTATTATTCTGTCAATTACTTCTCAATTAATAAACCTTTATATTTGTAAGGTCACAATAGACCAACAGTCCAAAATCTCAAATCATTCCTTTTAAAGTGCTACAAAGTATAGAAAAGTATCAAATCCTGCCTTTGCACAAGCCGGAACAAGCAAATTATTGGCATTCTGACCGTTTTATAATACATTTAGCTCAAAAATATTTCATATATGTGTAGTTGTATGCCTCAGTTCAAGTTAGAGAGCAGTAAAAGGCTGTTTTCACTAAAATGTTTGACGAACAAGGCTACAGCATCTCTGATCAATTATTTGCTATATTAGAATTCATGATTTTAAGTATAATGTTATTTTCCACAACAAAATGAACCTGTTTACTCCTTACAGCTACATTTACTGTGGTTTAACTGACGGACACAAGCTGTTTCTTTCTGGATGCTAAACCACAATTAACTTGATTTAAGATCAACACAAAGCACAAATCCTGCTGGTGTGTACACATTTTTTTAAACGTATTCTAGTGAAGTCTTTGTAACCTTTTGGTGTGAACCTGTCTTGTTTCTGCAGAGTTATGCATGATAAAATCCTCAAAACATTTCCCCACAGTGATTCATCAATAACACGGTGTCTTTTTGTGTTTTGGATTATTTGATCTGGTTAAAGAGTTAATGGGGATATTTCTAAAGCTTTTTTGTCAACATATTTGTAAAGTCTACGTCTGCCCGGTGTTGCACCCTGCAGTGCCTTGCTGCACTCATTTTGGATGGCAGGAACCTTTTGGCTCTTAGACGCGTTGACGAAAGACACACCTGAAGTTGGAGCGGCGTGACGGTTCAGCCCTAAATGGACTTCTCCGTCCCGGAACAAAAGAGAATGCTCTTCATGAACTTATGAAGCTCAGCACGGTTGTGAAAGAGCACAACAGAAGTCTGTCCAGCAACTGGCCTCCCCTCCTGCCTTTTTGTGAGCAGATGTTTGTCATGGCAACGAGAGCAAAACCCTGCTGCCCGTCTACTCTGTGTCGTGTATCTCTAAAGCTGTGGTTCCGTCCTCGAATCAAAGCACAGACACTGTCCATTTTCATAGATTAACGTTGTCCCATATGCACAGTGTATATTCTATATATTTGAAGCTTGTTGGAAACATGTAATTTTCCATTAGTACTGACTGAAAGGAATGAATGTTTATGTATAGTTGTACCTACTGTGTTGCTTCTCTGCTGTACCCGAGCATGGTGGGAACCAGGAGAAGCAGATTTGAGCTCAACACTGTTTGGAGACCTCAACAAAAACACTGCTTTCAAGAGAGTATTAAGTATTAATACGGTCGTAGTGCATTATTCAAACAACACGGTTGTAAACTGAAGGAAATACATTTGATGGGACTCTTTATAGCCTACTATATATTACTACTGTTGAGGTCGGTGTTGTAGTTTTCGTTTTGAATTACTGGGTATTAAATTTGCACGATATTTTGAACACTCTACACATTGTGTACATAGTTCGATGGTATTTTACACTCCTGTGCACACTCAGCCCTCCCATCACTGGAGAGAGATGTGAGGACGCCCCTCTATGTGTATGTGGGGCGACATGGAGGCCTCAAAGCGCTTAGCTGTGTGTGACTGAATGAAGCTGAAAGATTGACTTCAGTGAAGCCTAAACTAACTGTCAGTGTTTGAAATTTAGGTTTTTGCAGCAAGTAAAAGCACAGTGAAGTTATGAGCAACTTACTGCCTGGTTAAACTTTTGTCATTTATTTAGGAAAAGGACATAAAACAATTGATTCATGCACATAGAGGCTGTTAAAGCATAGAAATAAGGCAGTGGCATGTGTGGGGGCAACCTTTAGTAAATCAATTTGTTCATGAAATCAATGTTGCTTATTTAATTAATTTATGTATTACTTTATTTGTTTATTTATTGGGACATTGTGAAAAAATTTGAACAAGAAGGAATTGAATGTGTTTGAAGCTTCCGTGGTCTCACTAAGCAGTTTACAAGGAAATTGCGAAACAGACAAAACAAAAGCATTTGTATGCTTATATATATATATATATATATATATATATATATATATATATATATATATATATATATATATATATATATATATATACAGTGTGTTCATTTACTTTTCATTTACTGAGTATAACATCAGAAGAATGTTAATGTTTTTGCTGTAATTTTGCTTTTCTTAGCTGACGTCGTTTACTCTGGAAAGTTTCCTCTTTGTGCCAGTCTCCAACGCCACCTCATTTTTGTACAGAAAATGCAAAGGCAGAAGATGAAGGTTAAATTTGTAGAGATTCTGTCTGTCACACTACAAAAATGGATATTTAAATGTTTATATCTTTGTTCATTAAATGCTGTTGATATTTTTCACTTCAGCTATGATTCCTTATTGTTCTTTACTGATTTATTTCAAGACAGTGTCTCGAGGTTCGGCCCTTGGACACATTAGTGGCGGCCGCCAACGTCAGATGAAATACTAGTAAGCACAAATGTTTCAGGAAAAGTGTCAGTATCATAAAAAAATCCTATGTAGGAACGTATAAAACTAATAGTATATGATAAAGAAGTCGTTAATGACGTCCTACTAGGACATTGAAATACAAAAACATTTTATATTCAAAATGTCATGTAAATAGTCATAGTACAGTATGTCATAAAAAAAAGTCATAATATAGTATTTTAAAAACATTTCATGTAAAAAAAAAAAATCTTAAAAAAAAGATCCAAAATTTCCAAATACGTTTTTTCAACAAAAACATCATAAATATTTGTTATAATATAGTATGACAAATAAAAGGACATACAATGGTCTTTTATATTATGTCAAAATAATGTCATGTAAAAGTCAAACTATAATATGTCAATAAATGTCACTTGAAAAGAACATCTCTTCCACCATCTAATTCAGAGATATTCGGTGTCAGCTGTCAGAGATTATAACATAGAGAGTATTGGGAGGCTTGGCGAGGACCAGAAAAGAAATCCGAGAGTCAGGCAGCTTGTGTGAATGTCATGGACATTTGCTCATAATGTCAGTCAGTAAAGATATCAAAACGCTCAGCGGAGGTCGTCAGGGGAAAGATGATAGGTCGCTGGCGGACATTAAAAGCTCTATGTGGGACTTTTGTTTTGACTCCTCTGATTTATCGAACAAACAGTCCTGCAGGCCAGCTGGTTTCTATGGTTTTGTTTGGATTAGTTATACGCTCCGTCCAGCAGGCATTGTGCCTCGTTGTGGGGCTTTAAGAGAAATGCGTCGTCTGATATAGCCATGATATCAGACCCTCAGTGTTTGGCAAAGCAGTTTGGCTCATTTCATTTTAATGCATCATATGAAGTATAACCAGCAGACCTCAGAGGCTCGTCTCTCACAAGCTCAACATCAGAGATACTGAGCAGAAGCTTTCAGGAGAGACGAGGTCTGCTGCAGAACATAACTCCCGGTTGGGTAAAACTGTTTTTCATTACTAGAATCTGTTGTAGCATAATTTGTTGCGTAAACTTGTCTTTTTATTCTGTAGTTGAACAGCTTATACCTGTGATGAAATGTTTCTGTATTATGCCTTAAGATAGCATTTTATTTTTTCAAGATTGTTAAAACAATATTCAGAAGCTAATAAGTTCCACTACATTATTAATAACTGTTTGTCACTTGGGGAAATTGACAGCTCTGACCTTTTTAGTAAGTCTTTAGGAATAAATGTTGAGCGACATGGATGTGAAATGGGCTGACAGGTTAACAGGACTGCATTTTAAAGCAGGTTTCTTTTTTGGAGAATTTGATATTTCCCTAAAACGGATGCAGTTACTTGTGATGCATTCTAAACAGAATCTAAAGTTGTCAGTACCACTGTAAACTATACCAAGCTGCGTGTAGATATTTATACATATGAACCAAAAAGGGCCATTCCTTATATTTGTATATGTACAAATGCTTGTTCCTTGTGTGTGCAGTAGAGAAAGACCTCTGACATCAATACGTGTCTGCTGTTACAGATTCAGGAGCAAACAGGTGCGGTAAGATTAGTGGTGGCCAGCTGTCGTTGGTCACAATGTCAATGAAACGGAGCCACACAGCACTGGATGGTGGCTTTCATCCCAGAAGATCTGTGTACTTTAACTCCTACTCTGCTTTGAGGAAGAGCAGTGTTGCGCTCAATAAAACACACTTCATCTTCCCTCACACTTGACTTTTTTTTTTTAAACATTCAATCTAGCAACTTTATATGGGATAGTTCAGGTGATAATTCATTGTGCTGTTAAAGAGTGTGTTGAGGTGAGAGACAACATAACAGCCGGAATATTGAGTTTAAATCGTGCGTAAAGAAGTAGTATTTAATATATCACATTGGAGCGACAGGACTCTGCACCCTGCCAAGAAATGAATTGAACCCAATCAACGCATAATGTGACCTTTCTACAGTGTGTCAACTGACGTGTGATGTCAAGTGTATCACTTGACATCACACGTTATTTAGTGAGCATGATAGTTGCTGGAATGTGGATTTAGTTACTAGGCGTCAATTCTGTAAAGTAGTATTTACTCATACATTTTGGATCATGGAAACACACCTTAAAATGTCTTTTGGCCAAAGTTCAAACCCAATTCCAGGTTTTTGCTGCAGGATTATTTTGGGAGTGGTGGGGGCTTCTCCTCCAGCGTGAACTCTCAGCACGACTAAGCTCATTTCCCCAAATGTCAAACCATTGCGTTATGATCTCATTGACTACAGACGGAATGGAATTTGGGTAAAGCCTATTTAAGTGAAATAGTTAAGTGAATTTGTCTGCGTTTTCTGCTGTGCAGCGTGTTGCAAACTCAGATAACTTAGTTGTTGTAATTGGAGTTTCCACGAACCAAATATATTTGTGTTGTGCAAAGAAAGGTTTAATGACAGCAGACTTTCAATGTAATTTATTCAATATAGGTCTACAACAATAGGTGAGAGCAGTTAAATGAAAAAGCATATTATATGATTTTCATTTGTGTCTCTCAAGTAGTTTGCAGTTTATTCCTCAGCGTCCTTCGCCTGAAATAGATGGAAAACGGAGAGATGAAGTAATGAATCGCTATGGGAGGAAAATATTGCCATGGGACGTGTCTGTAGCTTTAACATGATCCATTTCAAATCTAAATTGAATGAATTATTAATTAAAACACAGCCGCATGGTTTTGCATGGTAACTGTCATAAGCTCAGGAAAACAATCTTTCCTCCTGCCTTTCTATAAGAATAGAAATAACCGTTTGAACTGATACGTATGACTTACTTTTCCAATTTCCCGACTCTTCGCTCTCAGTTTGTTGACCTGAGACTCAGCGATGTCGGCTCTCTCCTGCGCCTCCTCCATCTCGTGCTGCACCTTCCTGTACCTGGACAGGTGAGTGTTGGCCTGCTCCTCCTGTGAGGAAATTCAACGGCCATCCTCGTTACAGAGACAGTTTCTGTCTCCGGGTCTGACGCTTTATAGTGAGACATTACAGTGAGAAATGACAACACGTTTTGCACTCACAGCTTCCTCCGACTGCCTCTTGTAGGCCTTCACTTTCAGCTGCAGCTTGTCCACCAGATCCTGAAGTCTGGTGATATTCTTCTTGTCCTCCTCTGTCTGCAGGAATCCATGATTGAAATGAATTCATTTTCATCCCATTGTCTCCACTCTACCAATAGATACAGTCTGAAGGGAACCGCCGGTCTACCTGGTAGGTGAGCTCCTTCACTCTTCTCTCGTATTTGCGAACACCTTTGACAGCATCGGCTCCTCGTCTCTGCTCGGCTTCAACTTCAGATTCCAGCTCACGCACCTGAAATATGAACAATGCATGTTTTACTTGGAGGGAAAGGTTTTAATATTAAAAAAGCACAGTTAGCTTTCAGATCCCGTTTGTCTTTACCCTGGCCTCCAGTTTCTGGAGCTGCTTCTTGCCGCCCTTCATGGCCAGATTCTCAGCCTCATCCAGGCGATGCTGCAGGTCCTTTACTGTCACCTCCAGGTTCTTCTTCATCCTCTCCAAGTGGGAGCTGGTGTCCTGCTCCTTTTTCAGCTCTTCTGCCATCATGGCAGCCTGAAATATGGTTGATTTTTATATTAACCAATTGCAGGGTTTCAAGTTAAAGATGAGGAGAAATAGCCTCTATTCTTACTTTATGAACCGGCATATTATGCACCGTACGTTGTGTTCCATTGCATAGAAATGCGTAAGAATGACTCACATCAGTGATTGCCTTCTTGGCCTTTTCTTCAGCATTTCTTGCCTCCTGGACAGAATCCTCCACTTCACCCTGGACCTGGACAAGGTCAGCTTCCATCTTCTTCTTTGTGTTGATGAGGCTGGTATTCTATGATTAATGAAGCAGAAAAGAGCTTTCATGTATTGACCCGTTGAAGAATGTTCTTGCTCGTCCACCTTTGAGCATACCTGCGAGTGCAGCAGTCCCACGCGCTCGCTGGCGTCGACCAGCTCCTGTTCAGCCACTTTGCGGCTCCTTTCCGTCTGCTCCAGTGCCGCCCTCAGCTCCTCGATCTCGGCCAGCATCAGGTTGTTCCTGCGCTCCACCATGGCGACCTGCTCCTTCATGTCTTCCTGGCCTCGAATGGCATCGTCCAGATGAAGTTGGGCATCCTGAATTGTAAAACATCGAAAGGTACGTCAGCAAACACTTTCCGCTGGTTTCCAGGCAAAATTCTCAGCCACAAATCATCTATTGGACGGACCTTAAGCTGTCCCTGCACGTTCCTCAGCTGTTTCTGGGCTTCGGCGGCCTGGCGGTTGGCGTGGCTCAGCTGGATCTCCATCTCGTTGAGGTCTCCCTCCATCTTCTTCTTGATTCTCAGGGCATCGTTCCTGCTCCTGACCTCGGAATCCAAAGTGCTCTGCATGGACTCAATCACTCTCTGGCTGTTCCTCTTGATCTGCTCGATCTCCTCGTCTTTCTCCGCAAGTTTCCTATCAATTTCACTCTTGACTTGGGTGAGTTCAAGCTGAATGCGCATTATCTTGGATTCTTCATGCTCCAGGGTAGCCTGCGAACAAGTGTGCACACAAAAGGTCCTTTGTTCAAAATACAGAAACAGAGGCTGAGTAACAAATAGGGAGCATAGTACTGTGTCAAGTCCTGCTATGACCACAAGATCAGTCTCAGCCTCTTCCAAAGTTCTGCTGATATTTACCTCTGCCTCCTCTAGAGCAGTCTGGATCTCCGTCTTCTCGCCTTCCACTGTTTTCTTTCCCTTCTCAAGCTCATGAATCGTTTTTCCAGTGTCACCAAGTTGTTCACTTAAGTCAGAAATCTCCTCTATTGGAGCAGATACACATTTCAGTATAAATAGTACAGTAATGGAAATAGTTCAGAACAATGCATTGTGCATTTTTGATGCTGAGAACAGAATAACTGTCTTACGTTGCAGGTTCTTGTTCTCTCTCTTTAAGGTCTCCAGGTGGTCCAGAGATTCCTCATATGAGTTTTTCAGCTTGAACATCTCAGTGCTTAAGGACCGAGCCTCCTTTTGAGCTCCCTCCAGCTCTGCCTGGCTTTCTTCATACTTCTGCTTCCACTCGGCAAGAACCTGAAAACATAAAACATCCATTTCAGTAATTCACAATGCTAGGTCCTTCATTTAAGCAAACAAAGCATGAATGAAAATGCCACCTTGTCAAAGTTCCTTTGCTTCTTGTCAAGGTTAGCAGCCAGAGCGTTAGCTCTCTCCACATCAATCATCAGGTCCTCCACTTCACCCTGCAGCCTCTGTTTCGTCTTTTCCAGAGAGGCACATTTTGCATTCACAGCCTCGATGGATTCCTCTGCATCCTGGAGACGCTGGGCGAGCTTTTTCCTGTTAAAACATACGATGATTTAGAAAATGAATAGATCTGAAAACAAACTCAAACCCCTATGTAGGTGAATCCATCCCCAACAACCAACTGAAAGTGCTTTCAGTGCTGCAGCGGAAGAGCTCGAATGTTTCATTGATAATCTTCACACAGAGTTTGAATTATAATGACTAACTTGGCCTCCTCCAGCTCCTCGGTGCGCTGAATGGCATCGGTCTCGTATTTGGCTCTCCACTGAGCCACCTCGCTGTTGGCCTTTGACATCGCCCGCTGCAGCTCGGCCTTGGCCTCCTGCTCCTCCTCATACTGCTCCCTGAGCAGGTCGCAGTCATGGCGAGCCGACTGAACAGCATGAGCCAGGGCGTTCTTGGCCTATCAAAGAAATGAGCGCGTCATTAATATTGACACAGTGTCTTATGGCCTTTTTCTCTGGAATAATCCTGCTGATTTCATAGACTGCTACCTTGACTTCCTCCTCGATGTGCCTCTTCAGCTCCTCAATCTGTTGAGTGTAAGCCTGCTTGCCTCTCGTCAGCTGAGAGACAAGAGCTTCTTTCTCTTCCAGCTGACGCGAAGATTCACCTATAATTAAATATATTAGTGAACTTAATGGACATAACAACAAAATTGCTGTATCATTTGTAATAGATATCATTCACATTATCTATCAGGAAAGGTTTTCCTCGTGGGCTATCGTGTTGAAAGGAGATACATTTTGAAAGTTTGGATGCAGTTACTTATTCTGATATTTGCAATGTGCACCAAATATTAAAGTTAGGTAAAAGGGAGTGAAGGGTAGGGTATTAAAAGGTTGGGTAGATTTAATAGGAGTTATCATAAATATGCATAAACCAATGATAACTGTTTAAAATAAAAATGTGTGCCTAGTTTTTGAACACTCTAAACAATGATATTCGTACCATTTTCAGTTTGAAGTCTCGCTTTCTGTACACTCAGGTCATTCAGGTGACGAACATTTTCGTCGTTCTTCGATTTGAGCTCACTCAGCTGATCTTCCAGTGTCCTGCACAACTTCTCAAGGTTCCCCTGGTAAAAGAAAATGGGAATAATTATACTAATACCACCTTTAACTGTTTCCCCTTGTAAGTAATTCTTACAACTCTCTCACCTTTGATTTGGCTACAGACTCCATATTGCTGCTGAGGTCGTCGATCTCCATCTTGTATTCACTCTTCTCTTTCTCCAGCTTCTGTTTGACCCTCTGCAGGTTGTCGATCTGCTCTCCCAGCTCGGCCACACTGTCGGCCTGCTTCTTGCGGAGAGCTGCGGCGGTGGCCTCGTGCTGCAGGGTGGACTCTTCCAGATCGCGACGCAGCTTCTGGAACTCGGCCTCGCGCTTCTTGTTCATCTCGATCTGAGCGGATGTTGCTCCGCCAGCTTCTTCCAGCCTCTCGCTGATCTCCTCAAGTTCCCTGGAAAGATCGGACCTCTGCTTCTCCACTTTGGCCCGAGCGGCTCGTTCAGCCTCGATCTCCTCTTCCAGCTCCTCAATACGAGCCTGAATCACACAGGGTCGAAATGAAGATCTTTCAAGATAACCTTTTAATGTTCCTGTTCCTTTTGACCGGTACTAAAAGGTGTACCTGCAGCTCCTTAATCTTTTTCTGTAGCTGGATTCCCAGGGTCTGCTCATCCTCGATCTTACTCAGCAGCTGGCTTGTCTCAAAGTCCTTCCTGCAGGGGACAGAAAACATCGTTGAATTTGACCTTCTTGTAAGTAGGGCGTTTAGTAGGGTAAGTAGGTAGAAGGTGGTGGTTTGTTTATTCTTACTTCTTTATTTTCTCATCTGACTGCTGCTTGTCGTTCTCCAGGTCCATTATGGATTCCTGGGCCAGCTTTAGATCTCCTTCGAGCTTCCTTTTTGCTCGCTCAAGGTCCATACGGAGTTTCTTTTCTTGCTCCAGAGAACCTTCAAGCTGTCCACAAAATATATGTTTTATAGAATTTAGGTTGTTATTGTCAGATTATTGAACAAATCTAACTCGTTTATACTCGTTATATGTATGGTCTGAGGTTGTCTGTAATCCAGCATAATTATGTCTAGTTGGTAACAGCTATAGCGCTTTTTTCTTCACTCTTTTAACACAGTTTCAAGGCTGTATTAAGTTAGTGTTAATTGTGGTGGATAATCAAAATGTCTCTCTGAAGCAACATGAAGCAATCCTGTCATTTGGTCAGTACTGTTAAATCTGTAATCATGGGTCCAGGTATTACTCACATCGTCCACTTGCTGCTCCAGCTTGGTCTTGGCCTTTGTCAGAGTGTTGACTTTGTCTTCCTCTGCCTGCAGGTCATCGAGGGTCTGCTGATGGGCCTCTTGGAGGGCTTTCTTCTCTTTGGTCAACTTGGCAATGGTCTCATCTTGAGATGCCATTTCCTCAACCAGGTTTTTAACCTTTATTCAAAATATTGTGGGAACTGTTTTAAAAAATGGAAGTGCTTTACAAGAGCTGACTTTAAGGTGTAACAGAAGATAATGACCGACCTTATTCTCAGTGGCGTGCTTCTCCTTCTCCACTTTGGCCAGAGTGAGCTCCAAGTCATCGATGTCTTTCTTCAACTCGGAGCACTCGTCCTCCAGCTTCCTCTTCTTTGCAGTCAGCTCAGCATTCATTTCCTCCTCATCCTCCAGTCTCTCCGACGTCTCCTTAAGTTTGGCCTCAAGTTGGATTTTTGCCTTAATGAGCCCTTCGCACCTTTCCTCTGCATCACTGAGGTTTTCACCTTCCTTAAAGTAAAATGCAAACAGGCGTACGTCATGGCCAATTCAGTAATTTGATCGAGGGTGTCTTGTATAATACACATCAGTGATGATCTAACTTACAGATTGCACTTGCATCAACAAGTCATTTTTCTCCTGCAGGAGAGAAACCATCTTCTCCTCCAGTTCTTTCTTCTTAGCCAGAGCCTTTGCTAGATCCTCTTTGGTCTTTTCAAAGGTTTCTTTCATTTGGGCCATTTCTTTCTCCGTCTCTGCACTCTTTAGTAGAGGCTTGATCTTGAAGTACAGCTTCATCCATGGCCAGGTTTTGACGTTCATGAATGAGCGAATGTTGTACTGGATGGAGTAAACTGCCTCCCTGAAAACAACCAAGAACAATTTGAGTTGCTGACTTTTCTTTTAAATTTGAGACCACACCAATAACAGACACGATTACCTTCTCTCCATCATTTTGACAAACTCGGTCCTCATGAGGAAACCTCTGCAGAGAGCTTGAGTCATTGTGACCAGTTCAGCCAGTTTCTCATCTCGCATCTCCTCCAGAACTCCCAGAAGACCGGCTTTGAAGAACACCTGGGGGGTAAATTCGTAAAATTAAATATTCATCATAGTTGATCGTATACCGTTTTTTGTAAAACGTCTTGTCCTCTACCTTGGTGTGGCCAAACTTGTACTGAGTTTGGTCCACGTTGATGGATCCCAGCAGTTTCTCTGAGGCTTTCTTGTTGTCAATGAACTGTCCCTCGGGGATGACGCTAGCATTCAATACTTTGTATCTAAAAGTAGAGATTCCTTCCGGTTTAACACTTAAAAATAATAATACTCACGACTCATGTCAATTTCACATTTCTACTACCTCTGCTTGAAGTCACCATAGAGGATCCTACTGGGGAAACCTTTCCTGCAGATCCTGATACCTTCCAGCACACCGTTACACCTCAGCTGGTGGATGACCAGGAAGTTCTCCATGAGGCCTACGATCATTCATTACGTGTTTTTGATTAGTACAAGAAATGGTCAAATCCCATCAGACATTTTCTTTGAGTTGCCAATTTCTATAGCTATATTAATAAAATCAACACAAAGAGCACCTACCTGGTGTCTTTGATTCATTGGGAATCAGGCAACGCACAAAATGAGGATGTGTGCTCCTCAAATTTGTCATCAGCTTGCCCAAATTCTCCTGAAGAATTAAAAGTATATTTTATTGGCAAAAGGAACAAAATTAGTGCAATTAATTACGTAAGGACTTATTTTATATATCGTACCCTGAACAATGCAGACACAGTCTGAAAGGAACCGCCCTTCTTCTTGCCTCCCTTCTTTGAGCCACCGGCATCAGCTGTCAGTGGAATGACAGTTTACATTGAAATCATGAAATTGAAAAAAACCCTGATTCTGCATTATTTTATATTTCATAGTGTAGAGATGACTGCATGTACCTTCTGATCCGGCATGCGATGCATAGAGGTGAGCCAACAGTTTAACTGAAGACTTCTGGTAGAGCTGAACCACTGAGTCGTTCAGGGGGTCTTTGTTCTTATCCAGCCACCCGTTGATGTTGTAATCAACGGTGCCGGCGTAGTGCACCAGAGAAAAGTGAGCTTCAGCTTTGCCTTTGGCAGGTTTCGGCTTCTCAAAAGCCTTGGTTTTACCAAGATGCTGGTCGTACAGTTTGTTCTTGAAGGTGACGTCTGACGCCTTGGGGAACATGCACTCCTCTTCAAGGATGGAGAAGATGCCCATTGGCTGTCAGGAGGAAATTACTATTATAACAAAATACTTCAAGTCACCGGATAGCTTTCTGTGTTTGTGATTATTCAGCGTGTCCCACCTTCTCAATCAGCTCAATGCAGGCAGCCAAGTCCATACCAAAGTCAATGAACTCCCATTCAATTCCCTCTTTCTTGTACTCTTCTTGCTCCAGCACAAACATGTGGTGGTTGAAAAACTGTTGCAGTTTTTCGTTGGTGAAGTTGATGCACAGCTGCTCCAAGCTGTTGAACTGATTAATTCACAACAAGACAAAGTTATTGCCAAACCGACAAAATCATCATCATCTAAAAAGGAGAAATTGCGTCACGGAACTCACATCAAAAATTTCAAACCCGGCAATATCCAGGACGCCGATGAAGAACTGTCTCGGCTGCCTGGTGTCCAGCATCTCGTTGATTCTGACGACCATCCACAAGAACATCTTCTCATAGACAGACTTGCAGAGAGCCGAGACGGAGTTGTTGACCTGATACAACAGTGATGAAACAATATCATTAATTCAAGTTTTCAGGGGTCAGGCAGACAGTGTTTGAGACTTTACTTTACTCCACCTGAGGCACAGTCTGGCCTTTAGTCACAAACTCATTCCCGACTTTCACCCTTGGGTAGCACAGTGCCTTCAGGACATCGGCTGAGTTCAAGCCCATGAGGTAGGCGATTTTATCAGCGACTGAAAAGAAGCAAACACTGTGATATAAGTTCATTTCACAGAGAAATATTTCCAATTCATGACTTTTCCCACTTGATTTCAAAAGCGCATCGTACCCTCAGTGCCATCGGGCTCAGCCTGCTCTTCACGCTGCTTCTGCTTGAACCTCATGGCTCCGTGATGCATCACCGCACCGGTCAGCTTGTAGATGCTCCCCTTCTCATCTCCAGTGAAGCCCAGGATGTCAATGGCAGTCTGAGTGTTTAGAGTAGTGACATCAGTTCTGCTCTATAATGCTGCTCTATATACAAAACATGTTCTACAGTTGTACGTTTCTTGAGGTTGTGGACTTGATCATTTTCTTACATCAGTGGCGATGAACTCTTCCACATCGTCAATACTCTTGACAGTGATTTCCCCTTGACTGATCATGGGATAGTCGTATGGATTGGTGGTGATTAGAAGACCCTCTGAAAAAGGAAAGCCAGTGCGATTGATCCTTGTCAGCATGTTCACACCGAACAGCAGTTAATCAATGAGCTTTGCAAACCAAACAAGTCCCACCGATCAGCTCGGGCTTGTGGCCTGTCATCAGCTGGTAGAAGATGTGGTAGCTCCTCTCAGCAGACAGCTGGAACGTCACGCGAGACTTCTCCAGCAGATCTATTGATCACAGTTAAACACCAGTCATGTTCTGTTCAATGAGTTGATCAAAAACAAACCTTTGTTTCTACACTCACATGTTTCAATGTCTGCTGAGGCCAGCTTCCCAGTTGTTCCAAAGTGGATTCTGATGAATTTACCCTATTGAAATAAGGACCGTAGATTAGTATTGTAACTAATAGAATTCTCATATTGTTTTAGAAGAATCGGGTCAAGAAACACTTACAAAGCGGGATGAGTTGTCATTCCTCACAGTCTTGGCGTTACCATAAGCCTCCAGCAGGGGATTGGCTGCAATGATTTGATCCTCCAGCGACCCCTTCATTCAGAAAACATTTCATGGAAAAAATGATGCTTCATATCTGAGAATGCACATTTAATGTCGACATTTTGAACACCTCTTTCTGAAATACATTTGTTCATTTACCTGGATTTTTCCAGAGGTCTCAACCTTCTTCCCTCCAGCCACTGCGATTGTCGCAAAGTACTGGATGACTCTTTTGGTGTTGACAGTCTTTCCTGCACCAGATTCCCCGCTTGGATAAACAAAAACAAAATTAGCAGATGATACACCTTCAATGCAGGTCAACGTAATATCTTTGACATTGAGTTACATTAATTTCAGGATTTATGCAAACTCACGTGATGAGGATTGACTGATTATCACGGTCTGTAAAAAAAAACATTTCGTTTTTATTACGTGATTTGCTAGAACTATACACCAATGATGTGGATTAATAAAAATACAAAAAAATGAAATGGAAAAAATCTGCTTGTGGAAGCTGCTACTTGCTTTATAGGCATCTAAAAGCACAAAACACTGTAATAGTTGCTCTCTTCTCTCGTGATTTCACACACCAGTGAGCATGAACTGATAGGCGTTATCAGAGATGGAGAAGATGTGGGGAGGAGCCTCAATCCTCTTTTTGCCTCTGTACCCGGCCACAACCACTGCATCGTACACCGGGAGCCACTTGTACGGGTTCACAGTCACGCAGAACAGCCCCGAGTAGGTCTGTGAAGAGAGAAAGGGATTTTACTGGGGTCTTTCTTTTGTCCTCGTCTTGCGGATGTGACGATTGGGTGAGTGCTCACGTAGATCATCCATGCTGCGTAGCGCTCTTTGAGGTTGTACAGCACAGAAGGCTCGCTGAGGTGGGTCATCATGGCCATGTCCTCAATCTTGTCGTACTTTGGCGGGTTCATGGGAAAGATTTCAGTGTCTTTCACAGTGATCGTCTGTTACAAGGACAGAAAGAAAAAAGAAGCGAGCTGGTCAGTATTTATTACCACATGTGTTACAGTCAGAGGTTTTATAAAACCAAAAGACTAAATCAGTTTAACACATTCTTACCTTCTGTTTTGGGGTTTGTTACAGATTTCTTATGGCGCTAATATTTTGTTCTCTTACAGCACGTGTACTTGTCACTCTTGACAGTTTACTGTGTAATTAAAATTCTTGAAGTGTTTCATCACACTCACCTTTCCACAGAGAGTCTCCACGGTGGCTTTGCCGCCCTCTTTCTTTGTGAGTTTCCCCTTGAGGTACATCTCTGCCGGCTCGGTCACAAAGTACGCAGTTTTGGCATCAAAGGGAGTGTTCTGAGCTTCTATTCTCTCCCTTTCAGGTTTCCGGAGGTAAAGGGCTGCCGGCCCAAAACACTGCATTTCACCGTCCGTACTCATCGTGACCGCTCACTGCAAGTAAATAAAAACAGGACAGCAGTGATTTATTTCGGTGATGATTGATATTACTTAAGATGATACTCGACTACTGAACAAAGCTGCTCATGTTTCTGAATGTTATACACAAATGATGAACAGAAGGAAGTGGACAATGCAAAAACTTGACTTACTATAACATTAAAAAAAAAAGCAGTCCATGGTTTGTGGCTGCAAGGTGACATCCAGTTAAATTTCCCATCAGCTGTACAACTCGTTTCATGCTCCATTAATTGCTTGTGTAAAAGTATCAGACACTCCGATGAAGGCATCAATGACCATTTCTTTCTACCCTCTAATAAAGCAGTCATTATCCACTCAAAATTATTCGTTAAATGATTTGCTAAAGGTTCAATGAATATGTAACAAAATCTGACTCATCAAATATGTACTGATTATACATTTGATATAACAAAGTATAAGAGTAGTAAAATGAATGAATTACCTTCTGCCCTCCTCTCAGGTGAACAGGTATTGATGGACTAAGGATGATTCTGAAGAAAGACACAAATTATTTGTATTAATATCAGTAATAAGTAAACTAATGAACTTACTTTACACTGAAGTCCTGACACAAACAAGACCATTCCGTTTGGAAAATCTGTGATCATGTCCTGCATTGTTCATTAAGCTGCTGGTTTTTCCTCCTGCTAATAAAAGACTGCAACACTCACCTTGACTTGGCGTCTGTCGGTCCTTGGGTTCGTCCAGCCTCCCTTCTTATATAGAGAGATCAGTGCCCACTCAGCAGATATGACCTGCTTAATTTGGTCATGCACTTTTATGCTCACATGCATGTGTATTTTTTGCATCTAATCTGACCTTCGGTTTCTATTGTCACTGAACAACACAGATTGAAGCCATGTCACTGAAACTTTCAGAGTCCCTGTTTTTCAGTTATTTTAATTTAAATGAGAAACATGTAAACAACCTATTCTTTCTAATGATGATGGTTACTCGGTGGATACACTTCAAACAGTTTTTCATTGGTTTCATCACCAATGGACCAATGAAACTTTATCAACTCAACATTTCCTTGGACAGATGTTGATGTGATGCTCTTTCTTTAAATGAATATTGATATAAATGATTTGTGATAAATTAAAACCAAAATGTCCTCAGGGTTTACACACATAAAACATTTGACTCATAGTAAACTGTTTTACAGCATTGTGCCACACCAAAATCACAGTTAACCACCAAACTGAATTCAAAGACGTATAAATAAATCAACACACGTACATATCTGCATTTCTTGAACCATGTGAAAATATAGTTTGGGCAGTCATATAGGTTACTGACGTTCAGACATTGTTTTGGTCTTTAGGATAATCTTCCTAATGCACCTTGGCACTGCCGAGGAGCCGACTTTAGCTGCGGAGAAGCTGTCATGTGTCACTGGTATTACGTTGCAGAAGCCTTGCAAGTCTTTCCTGTGACAAAGGGGCAGAATTGGGCCCAACAGTTGCTAATCTAAGCACCTGTGAAAATGATGATACCTCATGAAGGCAGAAACACTGAATGACGTGTGCTTTTTATAAAATTCCAAACTTAATTTGATTTGTTCTTCAGGGATCAAGGACAATGGCAAGAAGAACAATACTCATATTTATAGCTATTTAATTCCCTTTGTTGTTTAATTAATGAATGCATCCAAGAGATCACGTGAAAATAACTTTGAAGTTCCCTTCATACAAAAGTCCACTACAAATCTCACTTGTTGTTGTTGCTGTTATGTCACTGTCATCACATCTTATTAAAGCTGAAAATGAACATGTTACTATTTTACAATGTGGAATATTTAATTCTGCATAACATTTCTGAAACTGAAAGGTCTGCCAGAGTGTTGAATTATCTCACTAACGCAACCAAAGATAGCACAGGGCCAATGTTTGAGCTAACGGGACAAGATTACAAACGTCACATCATTGCATCACACTCTCCGACTGAGAAATATATTAGTGGTCAAATAAAAGGTTTGTATTGTTACAAATGTTGGCAAACTTTACTTTTAATATTTTGTGTTCATACATTCAACAGATGGTTTATTACATTCTACCCCACAGTGTAGTAATACTGTACAGGGTTGATTTTATTTGTCAATAACTAAAGTACAAGTACAACAGTTTATGAAGAAAAATATGCTTTTTGTTGTTGACAATACTAGATAAACAACAAACATACATAAATATTTTCTTACAACTAGATTTGTGTGTGGGTGTTATAACTAATTTATTATAAGGTTCTATAATTCTAGTCAATGCTAAATAATGTAAACATGTATTTTTGAACCACATCATTGATTATGTAACAGACAGAGAGATGCATTAAAATGTGGACCTTTTTTTGTTTTCTCCCATACATTTTTTTTTCCAAGTGTGAACCAATCTAATTTACTAGACATATTATAATCTGGTCTAACAAAAGCAGTTCTGTTTATAGACTCTGACATATAATCCCAAAGAACTTTTGCAATTACAGAAGGATATTTTAGGCCCACAGCTGTATATTGGCCTGGTTATAGACAGGCGATGATTGCAGGGGTCCACATCGTTTTGTTGTACTTATTACTTACTAAAGTCTGTAGTCTGAGTCTTGTAATTTGTATGAAAATGTGAAACGCAAATAAACCTGAACTTGGGTTTCTAATGTCTGGAAAGTGAAGGGAGTTTGTGTAGATATGGGTCATGAAAAGAAGATCTACAAACGATCTAATTTGGTAATTTTACAAGTGTGTTGAGGCATGAACACGGACATTTTCAATAAATCCAAACGAACATACTTTTCAATGCGGCTGCAGACACATTATGGAAGTGGAGAATTTAAAGAGGAAGTAATAGAGGATTGTGAATGATCAGGATATCCAACATTTAAGTAAAACAATGTCAATGTTTACTCGCTGTGGCCTCTGACATTTGTATTCATAACTTCAAGGGAGCCGTCTGCAGGGGACAGAGTATCAGCTTTCCATCAATCCTCGACTGACATTGTCTTAACACAGTCTGAGTCTTCTTTTTTGCTTTTTTTTTACCCACAATTGGCCCAAAAATCCTAAGCTTGTGAATCTACAGAATGAGAAATATTTAGTGGTCGGCCTGCTCATATGTCTGACTTTCCTGTCGGTTCATGAAGGTGCGCTGATCCCAGACAGATGACAGACATGTCCGTCTTAAATGGGGTCGTCGAGCTGTGTCAAAGGGCCCCGGCTTTCTAGGGACTGTCTTTGAAATATAATATTACGAACAGATTCGCACTCTGCCACCTCACACAGGGAAGTATTGGGATATCGTAAAAAGATCTGTTTCTTTTTTACTAAATGTATTAATTTAGAGTGAGTTTGACTTTAAATAACAATCTTTCTCAACTGATATGATTCAAAATACAATACTTTTTAGAAACACTAATGGTGTAAACAGACGGCTGTACAACAGCTTCTGAATCTTTTTAATGTTAAAGATTGTTTGATTTGTTCAACATTGCCCCGATCAATCATTGTGTCTTTCAACCCTTTGCATCATTGTCATATTTGTATATTTATATTGTGTGAAATAACTTGAATGTCTATTTGTGTTGCTGGGGAATTCTTGCTTGAGAGACAAATAAATTACTCCACGTGACTTTTGGTCTATGTTATTATATCCATTGCTAATGCCCAAGCTGCCACAGTTAAAATCCGACCCACAGCCCTTTGCTGCGTGTCGCCCACCCCCTTCTCTGTTTAGCTTTATATTCAATAACGGTAATTAAATGCCCACCAAGCCTTTTTTGAAATGGCTGAAAAACTGGAAATTAATTAAAAAGGACAACAAAGCATGACAATTTAAACAGTATTTGAATCAAACTTTTTTCTCTCATTAAGTATTAATTGAACCACGAAGGTTGATTATTTCAGATAAGAACCATATTATAATTACATTAAGTACAACTGACAATCACGTTTGAGTCACCTGAGTTTATTATTCTTTCAATAATACATTTTAGTCACGCTTCCTGTTTGACCTTTGAAGCATCCGTTTGCTCATATAAACAATGACACTTTGAATGTACGATGAAAAACTCAAATAAGGAACCTCACCTCAACACATTATAAATTTACTCTTACTGAAATCCTCCCGACACAATTAAACAGTATTTTTCTTGTCACTTTTACTTGCTACATTCCGGAGCATATCAGCTTACACGTCTGCATTTCTGGCAGTATAACCACTTTGTGTGCGTTTGAGTGACTGTGATCACGTCAGGAGGGTGTTGACTCGAGGACCCGCTCGTCCGCTCCGCGTGCTGCCGAAAAGTCAAAGGTTTAAAGGTTTGCTGTCGACAACTGTCAGTACCGGACCTGAGGAACGGCCACATAACCCGGGGCCTCTTGTGACTTGGCTGGTGCCTCAGAAATCCTTCATGTGGTCCTTTGTGAACTCGCCTCGTGTATTTGGCAGTAAACTCACATCTCTATTGTGCAAGGTAAAAATTGTCGAGGAACAGGTGATTAGTCTTGTGTCTCTGGGTTTTTTGAGACGGGCACTTGTGTGGTCTCAAGGGCGCGCATGTATAAATAAACCCTTTCTTTAAATGGTCTTGTTGTCCCGTGTGTCCTGACAGATGAACTGAAGACAAGGCCAAACTGGTGGCTTGACCTTCCCTTAAGGCAAGTGCTTGTTCCCCATACGCATCATGAGGGGGATCATGTTATATGATGTGTAGTAGTTTGCATTCTTTCCCCGTTGAAACATTACACTGAATTGGCAAAGAAGATGAGAGGGCATTAGGAGCTAAATGCTGAGGACTTCACAGCCCCACCAAAGAGCCCCATATATTCAATAAAAATGTGAAACCGGATCTCTTATGCTCCCGAGTGTGCTTATTAGGAAGACATACAAATATAGCTGTCTCCTCAGCAATGCTCTAAGAGCTCAACCATTTGTCCCTGCTTCAATTCTTATTGTGGAACAACCTTTGATATAAAACACCCACTTCCTCAGTGGTCATAGTTTCTAATATGACAAACATACTGATGCCCACATCAATATCTTAAAATCATACCGTATTTATTCACTGTGTCTCCAGTCTTCCTTTGCGTTCTGCAGAAGCAACTGACACCAGATAAAGAAACACAATTGTAAAGGATTACTGATGATATGGAACAAACAACCATTTTTGTCAAAGTTCTATGACTTAAAGGTTTATCGTCTTCAATAAATGTAATGTACGATTTATATCATATTAAGTAGTGAAAAATCCTCTTCCAAGTAGAGAAATGTTTCAACAATAGGATTTGAGAAAAACATACCAGATTTAATTGAACTTATTAGCTATTTTCAGTCCACCTTTAAAGAATAACTAGTACGAGAATATTCCTTGATAAGTATTCGTAAAGTATTTTTATTTGGATACACACCGAGGTTTTAAGCATCAAGGATGCTTGTAATTCCCTCATTGGCAATTAAGTGACAAATTCGTTAGTTCCTACGATATATGTTATTACATCAAACATGTCTGTGTCAATGTTCTTAATTGTAATTAAATGTCCTTTTATTTTTGCTTTTAATGGTTTTATGTGACGCACTAAATGTTTTTTTTTGTTTGAAATGGCCTGTGCACACTTGCCTTTAATATATCTTCACTTACGCTATAGTCACAAAGGCATCACTGAGTGTTGTGGTTCACTAATAGGTCTATTTCCATCACAACTTGACACGGTGCAACATGTGTTTTGAAGGCTGTAAAAACTGTGAGGTCACTGGTGTGTCAGTAACATTATCACCCCGAGGTAAAGATTTGCAGTTATCGTAACCTGCAGAACTTTTACTTGATAACAGGCGACAGATGACGCCCCGGTTGAGCTATCAGAACAACAAACACACTACTCAGAATGACCAGATCATCTCCGGTATCCCTTCTAATTTTACATTCATCTTATCCCGATACAAGTTTGACAATTCTTCTCACTTCTTTTTATTAAGTTTTTTTAAATGTACTGTATAAAGATTGTCAGTAATGGTCTTCAGCTGTAGCTCTTTGAATTAATGGAATGAAATTGTTTTTTGTTAAGAAACTGTTTTAAGGTGAGATAATTGACTCATTTGTTTAAAAGTTTTCTCTGTTTACTTGAAAAGAAAACAACTTACATTTGAATAGTCTGCTGTAACGTTCATGCATAATTAACTCCATTCCTGCCTTGAATTAAGTGTGAAGTAGAAGGTAATTCAACTGCTTGCAAATTCATTTTTTGTTACACGTCAAAAAAATTGTATTTTATAATTTCTTGTACTGTGCCATCGATGCTCATACTTCATGTCCCTTTAAATCAACACAAGGGGGACAGAGACCGGTTACACACTTTATTAAGATGTAAAGATACAGAAGTTCCTTGCTGTACAGGCGAAAATATCCTGACACTCTCACAGCTTTTTCAACTGAGACTCAGCGATGTCAGCTGTCTCATGTTGCACCTTCGTGTACCTGGAGAGGGGAGCGTTGGCCAGCTCCTCCTGGAAAGCATAAAGTTAAAGAGATGGCGCCTTGAAAAATCTTTCCAGTCATATGATATAAATAATCAATAAGTGTTGCATTAAGCTGCCAGTCTTCTGGTGTTAGGAAAGGTGTTACCGGTGTGATGCCTTGTTGTGTTGCATGTGTCAAATATTTCACACTCACAGCCTCCTCAGACCTTCAGCTTCTGCTTGTCTACTGGACACTGAAGTCTGGCGATATTCTTCAAGGTTCTCCTCAGTCTAAAAGCGAGACGGCACAGTTTGTCAGAGGAAAACTAAAGACAACGTGTTTAAGCACTATATTTAAATACCCTCGAGATCAGGCGGTACAGTCGCTTTAGAAAAACTGTGACAATTTAAATTAAAGATCAACAACATGGGACATTCACACAATGTGCGAGTCCTGTCAAGTTGACTGTGAGAACTGAGTTCACGTTGGACCGTTCCTTCTTTTTACCATTTTCAGAGTGTAAATCTGTAAAGATGTCTATGAATATCCCACTGTTGGTTGTACTAATCCATGCACATAACCACGTGTGTTTATTGCTGCAATGGCAGAATGCTTATTTTTAGCCGTGAGCCACTCTTCAGACATATAATGGCAATTAATGCCACCTAGGGGATCGAAACATATTCTACATCATGTTTGACATCAGCTGCACTAATTATGCAGTTTCCGCAGAAAAATATGATATTAAGCACATTTTCAATTGAATAACCCGTAACCCGGTGAGTAAAAAACACTAAAATTGCATTTTTAAAAGTTTGAAAATGTAACCTCCATTGTGGTTTCATTTCACGACTAAATTGCAAGATCACAGTCCCCCAAAATATTACCATAATAGACAATGAAACAATTTGGGGTGCAATATATATGCAGTTTTTTAAAAATTTCACAGTTATTTAGACATCGCATACTGGGCACAATTCTTCTGCCAAACACTCTGAGGCTGAAAAATGCTGTTGGGAATTGGATAAATAAATTGTATTGAATAAATTGTATATAAATAAATAAATTATATTGTAATTATCATTACATAACTTACTTTTATTTTTTTACTTATTTAACCAAAAGGTGTTGGTTTCAAGCTCCACAGTTATTCAATTAAGTGATGTTTGAAATGAAATGTGTCCATTTAACTTGGTGTGGCCAAATCGATAATGTGCTTCTTACACACCGATAGATTGAAGCAGTTTCTCTGAGGCCTTATTGCTGTCTAACTGTCCCTCGGTGTTTAACACTGCCATTCAGTACTTTGTAAGGAAAAAAATTGGTTTAAATCAGATCATCCACCAAACGTGATCTTCAAATGTGGACTGCGAGGTCCAGAAATAGCTTCTGCTACTTCTGCTTAAAGCCCTGCAGGATTCCACTCGGGGAACCTTTCCTGCAGAACCTGATCCCTTCTGGCACACCGTTGCTTCTGGAGGAGGAAGTTCCCCATGAGACAAACCGTACCAAGCACACCAGCGTGTGAGCTGATTAGGGCCTCGCACAGATCAGAGGTTCCAGAGAGGGTGTGTCATTTGCAGAGATTCCGCTGTTTTCATGCAGCAACTATGGACTGAGAGGCTGAGAGGAACACGTGTGAGTTTGGGGTTTGGGCTTTGACCTCCCACATTCTAATTACTGTGGCAAATTTGAGATTTCTGTCAATTAAAGACATTGTTTTTTTGGAATTAAACTGGTGTCTTTGATTAATCGGTAATCAATCAGTGCATTAAGTCTGGGTTGGTGGTCTTGAATTTGGGCATCAAATTTCCTGTGAATGGATAAATGATGTATTGTATATATTCTCCACAAGATCTTATCTTGGCTTAGATAACAACACAACACAAATGAATGGAAATAAAGTAAACAAAAATGTAGACATATGTTTTTTATAATTACCGCAGATGGTTTTCACTAATAAATGTTTTACAATTATTCTGAAATGAAAACTGTGCAGTTTTTCATTGGTGAAGTCACTGCTTCGAGCTGCTGTACTTGTACTTACTAACACTATCAAACTCATTCTGTAAAATGTATTGCCACACGTTTTATACTCACATCAAAGATTCCAAATTATGCACCATCACTGACGTTATTGTCATGTCCAGCAAGCGATGTTAATCAAGTTGTCTCGTGATTTCCTGTTTTATTTTGAAAAATGACCTTCCTCTCGTTTCAGCTTGCTCCTTCCTCCTGTGTGCCGGTCTGATTATCTGCCCTGCCCCAGATTGTTTCCACCTGTGTGTGTGTGTGTGTGTGTGTGTGTGTGTGTGTGTGTGTGTGTGTGTGTGTGTGTATTGTCTGCGTCTCCCTTTGTCCTGCGCCAGTTCGTCTTGTCCCAAGTCAAGTAAGCCGGCATCCATCGGCATAGCTTTAGCACGTATTTGTTTTGTCTTGTTCAGGCTCGCCTTCTGTTTGATTTCTTTTCTCAGCCTTGTGTTTATGTTCTAGATCCCTTTTTTTGTTCTTAGATTAAGTATAGGGTTTTTTCCTTGACCACGAGTGATTTTCATTTCAGCGGGATTTGCCTTTTGTTAATAAACTTTGTTTTTTTAACATCGTCTGAGGAGTCGTGCATTTGGGTTCAGGGCCGTTGTCCGGTCGTGACAATTCTGAACATAAACAGATGGAGTTCTGGTCATTTCAAAGTGGCGTATCAATAGAGTGACGGCTCAGGAAGTTGGGGATTTGATCTTTTCACTCAATAATGTTTACAAACGTGATTTCCAACTGTATGAAAATCAACAGTATTTTCTTGACTACATAATCCATCCCGTGCAGTCTGTTGTATTGCAGGCCACTGTGACAACAAGTAAAGGCCACGATAGATATTTCTCCCCTTGTCAGTCAGGCTTCTGAAAGGGAGTTATCTTTAATAGTGAAATCTCAGGACACCACACAGGAAGGGCTCTCTTGTTTAGTGAGCTTGTCTAGAAAATGAAATCCGATGGCCGTGTCCAGCCCAACTGCTGCCACCCAATCACAAAAGCAGCATACACATTGAATAACACCCCAGATTAAAACAATACACTTCTGTCCAAAATCCAGCTAATGATGAAAATGCAGTCTGTGTCTTTAAAATGCTACAAAGCTGTTTAAATACAAACAATACATAATATATACAGTTATTTTAAGCTAATATATGTTATTAGGAATTAAGATGTATCACGCTTCTTTGTGAACGTGGGCCAAACCGTCTTGAACGATGTTCTTCTTCCGAAATAATAACAGGTTTATTTATGTAAAAGAAAATTTAGCACTGAAATTCTAAAACAATCTCTTGAGCTTAGGACCAAGTGTTCAGCTGAGGCTAATTTAAGATCCCATTATGGTCCATTATACTGTTGTGCTGTTGTGACATTCAATATCTCTGGCCTTTCTTTTCTACTTATTAGGACTTAAATCAAATATAGCCTGCAGCTCATGAATTCCCATGGTCTTACTATTGAAATGGTTGAGAAATACATTGAATGCTTCTGTTAATTACGTGTCAGATATATTTAAGCATCCTGTTACTGTTATGTTACCTCAGAAAACGATCCGGGCTCTGAAGCTCCTCATTCTTGCTTCAGACTAACAGTATTGTGACCAAGTCATGCGTTCATTAAAATAACTTCAGTTTTGTTCTGCATCGTGATAAAAATTTTGTTGTTTATTTGCTGCTGTAGTTTGAAGATTTTGATGGCCGACGCCAAGACAATAAGTATTCACAAATGAGCTGTGTAAATGAGGGATGTGTGGTACTTACAGAGATTAAATGATGTGATATGACACACAGAGGGTTCATTTTCTCCTTGTTATTTTAGTTCTTCGGTATGTGGTGGTCTTTGTTGTCTTGTTACGCCACTACTGTTGTATCCAGATTGCTGGTAAAAGGGATACATGTATCTGGCCTATTTTGTAGGTTGATCAATATACTTCAGGTGCATCCACTCTGACAATTCATGAAAGAAACCCAAAAGAACCAATAAGCAACTGCAAATATTTGCCTGAATGGAAACAGATTAACAGCTTGTCTAGATACTAGACCACCTGTTGGTTTGAGGGAAGCATAATCCAGTCTTCAGGGAGGCCGAGACGGGTTTTTTAAAACCGAAAGCAGCTAATGTTCCCTTGTGTGTGATAAATAGGACGTCTCTGTGCAGGTGCTGCGTTACTGAGAAGTTGGTCGGGTTGTGTTTATCTGTTACAATTTGCTCCCGTGTGAGAGAGAATTCCCTTTCACTAAATGTAGAAAGGCAGACAAGGAAAGACGGGTTGAGAATGATGCTTTTCTTTGCGTTTTTTTTCGAGTTAACGCTCTGAATTACTTTTAAAATAGTGAGAGCAGCAAGTTCCAGTAACTTGAGTAACTTCAATACTTTACAAGTGGGTTGTATTGTTTTGTTGTGTTAACATTGTGGTATTATCTGATGTGTAATATTTATTACATTAAAGCAGTTGCTGTTGCTGCTGATGAAAGGTTGTTTGTATTACCATTATATTCATTTTACTTTGGGCTTTATCAAATTAAACAAACACGTTTTGTAAAAAACACAATGACTTACTGTGTATCAGTGGTAAACTATTCGTTATTTTAGAAGTGGCCCTTCATTGTCTTCTTCTTTATCCATCTTAAAATGTTTCACATTGTTGTAGGGAAAAGTAAATAATTGTTTTTACAAATAATACTGTAATTTGTTATTTGTCACGCTGTTTAAGGTCCCATATTACTTAAATATCACCGTAGAAATGCATTCTAGAACAGAACGAGTGTTGCAGATTTTGTCCCCCGACACTTTCATTTTGGAAACTCAAGTCATTAAGGGAAAGGGATCCCTTAATGACTTGTATAACCAGAAGGAATTATCACTGCAAGCAGTAGCTGTTTCAGTTTGGGAATCTGAGCAAAAACTGTGAAACCTAAACATTAATCTGTCTCTTGTGAGCATCCCAATTTATAAATAAGTGCATTATTAAATAGCTGGAGAACTTGTTTGGAAAAAAAAAAACATAATTGCCACACTCACTGTCTTGGGAAAGATTAAGGCTAATACATGAGGGAATTAGTTCATGAAGATTTAAGTTTCTATTCTGGGTGCATTGTATCAGCTGCATACAGCTGGTGACACACAACCTTATGGTAACAGAACTCTGCCACTGGGTACACTGGTTTCATTTTTGTTGCACATTTAAAGTCATACTTTAAAAAAAGGAAGTACAAGAGCTGCCAAACATTCTTTTAAATGAATAACTACAGTACTTCACCACATTTTAAATCAGATACGAGTGAAGTAACGAGTTAGCAGTTGAAACCACACAGATATCATTTGGATTTATCATGAACTCTGAGTGAAATAAATGTGTTGAAGTGATGAAGAAGTGGCTGACAGTTTGTGACATCTGAGTCTCAATGTGCCACACTATATTTTAAAAGGGTCATGATTGAGTGTCAAGGGATTTTCTCTGCCTTCTGTCCAATGTGTGCTGGGGCAGTTTCCAACATACTTTATGATCCTGAACAAGTAACAAGTGAAGTGAATTCCCAACTTTGCATCAATAGTGACTTAACTCATTACTTGAGTTGGTGACGTGGTGTAATGCCAAGACACCAGTGGCCGATGTCCGAGAAGCTGATGTCTTAAGCAGCATGTTTGCACCTTTGCAACTTGAGGCTCCCTCTGGTGTTTATACGATGTCAGTGACCCCGACTGTGTATGAATACACACACATCCAAGCCAAGGAACTGACGGCACCCCGAGCAGTAACTCTCAAT